AATTAACATTTTGTCAGTACCTCTAGTAGACAAGCTATTTTGTTTAGTTATCTATAGGAGAATCATGATCTCTATCCGATACCAAAAAACAATTGTGATTAATTTATCCAGAATTGTGCAGCTCTACTCCTATGTTTACGGTCTACCTGACTGTACCCATTCAGAATCTAAAAAACACCTTCAGGCTTCAGCAATGTCCATTATAAAACACTCGTGCTTTTAAGCCAAATACACACTGAAAATAATAATTCTAGACCTGACTAAGCAATCTCTGATGAAACCGGTCGGGTTTTCTCTGTAGCTGTTTTAAACTTAGGCTACTGTTTGAAGGCATTCGTTTACTGGATCCTTGGACTGAAAAGTTTACCGGTTTAAAAAATCTGATCGCAAAAACATGCTTCTTTTCCAGCCTGGTCTCATGTTTATACATAGGTATTAATATGTAACATTTACAAGCACAAAACATACACTTTTATACGTTTTTAGTCATGCTAAAACGTACAATTTAGACGTATTTCAACGTTTAAAACGTACAAATCGCTACGTATATTTAGCTAAAAAACGTAAAAATATTTACGTATCTTTTATATCATTTAGATATTCGTATCAATGCATTATCATTTTATCAATAAACGATTTCGATTTTTAGACCCCTTAACCTAACTTACCCCAAACCTATACCTACCCATTTTATAGCGATATATAAAGGATATAAAACGCAAATGATCGAAATACACAGGAAAATAAAACTTTTAGTAACAATATAGCATTCAAATATATTTATAGTCGCTAATTCCACTCCTACCTATAAGCCTAAACATTTCTGTACAGTATAACTGTCACGAATGCAGGCGAGAGCCAATGAGCGTTCGATTATCCTGCCGTAAAACCTGTAATTTGAAGCGGCAACATTTGAATTTGTAAAGAGCGCGTCAGTCAGCACGGGCTTTGCTGCTCACGGTCACTGGACTCGCTGCTTGGGATGGAGAAGCAAGCAGATCGCCAAAAAAAGGCTTGGATTTGGGTCTGTTCCTCGCAGTCGTATGGATTCAGAAGATTTAGAGTACAGCGCACTAATAAAATTGTTTAATTTCGCAATTATGTTGCGTTTTTGGTGTATTTTATAGTTCTATTGTCAGTCACAGCATGTCAGAGAAAATGCCTTTTGTGGCGCATGACAATCAAAGTAAACATTATATGACAAGTAAAGGTTAAACAAGTGAAGTTGTGTTTAACATTATGTAGGCATATTTTTGGAAACGAGCTGGCAGCAGAAATCACAACAAAACGAAATGTTATAATTTCATAAGTAAACAATTTAATAATGCAATTGAAAACAAGTTAATTCATATGACAACTAAAAACTAATAAAATTAATGCCGCAATTTCAATATTCATAAGGATTCATTTTTAGGTGTCGTCAATACGTAAGTATTTGTACGTTTTAGTGCCTGTAAAAACGTAAATGTACGTTTTATAGAACCACATTTTACGTAAAATACTTACGAATTATCATGAGATCACGTTGTCTTTTCCTTTTTAAGGTATTGTTTTCATTATGATGTACTGATTCAAATTAGTAGTCAATAATTAAATGTTATTTTATCACTCTTCGCGTCTCCCCTGACATGCACTCACGCCCCAGACCGACTCCGCTTGCATTCACGTGATTTGTCGAAATGAGAGATGGGCGCGGGCGCAATTATCAATCAAATTTAAAGGGAAGTCGGTGCATCCTGACTTTACTGGTCTTTACTGGGTATGTTTAGGGAATATTGGCATTTATTTACATGTGATTTGATTAGCTAGTCATGGTGGACTGTCATGATTTTGGCTAATGCAGGACACTAATGAATATGATTAACATTAATGAGACATTCAGGTATTTAATTAGCCTGCTGTCCATTTAAGACCGAATGAATGTAATATACTGACACATATATCCGGTTTTCACCCACCTGTTTACATTCATTTAAGCCATAACCGACTGTATTATGTGTGATACTCCACATGATGGAGATTTTGACAGCTGTGTGTGTATTTTACAACTAAGGTGCAGGCAGAACTGGGATCGCGCGGGCACGCAGCCGAGAGCGAGTGATTCCACCTATTTATCCCGCCTTCACTAACTGCAAGTTAATCGATAACGAATTGTGATTGGATGGTAATTTTGTCCTACGACAAGCTTAGTTCCCTTTCGTGGAACTTCGAACTGCGTCCTCTAGGGGTCGCTATGGGGAACGCCTCATCGTGACCCGTGTCTGAAGCCTACATTGAAAAACATCAACTTGTTTGGCCGGCGACAGCCATGACGTCTCTACCGTCGCAACTAGTACAAAAAAGGCGCCGGTAGCGCACATCATCACTTTCTTCGTCTTCACTGACCGTTCTGTTTGAAGCGTGCATTCCAAAAGCAAAGTAAGAGCATTTTCTTTTCCTACTATGGCGAGCACTAGCGGAGCGTTTAGAAAGTGTGTACATCCGTGTCAGCGGTTTCTGACACCCGATGATTCACACGAGCTATGCGTTGTTTGTTTGGGCGAGGAGCACAGCCGTCTAAGTCCAGGACAGGGGCAACTCCCATAGCGATATGGTGTAGTTGGTACTTAGTGGCTCACCATGGTTCTGGCTTGCACTCCCCTCAGCATGGCGGCGTGGGTATACCGTTCCCCATAGCGACCCCTAGAGGACGCAGTTCGAAGTTCCACGAAAGGGAACGTCTCGGGTTACTTATGTAACCATGGTTCCCTGAGGGGAACGAGACACTGCGTTCTCTAGTTTTTTGTGCCATGCTGCGGACACAAGCTTCAGACGAAGAAGTGATGATGTGCGCTACCAGCGCCTATTTTGTACTAGTTGCGACGGTAGTGACGTCATGGCTGTCGCCGGCCAAACAAGTTGGTGTTTTTCAATGTAGGCTTCAGACATGGGTCAAGACGAGGCATTCCCCATAGCGACCCCTAGAGGACACAGTGTCTCGTTCCCCTCAGGGAACCATGGTTACATAAGTAACCCGAGACGTTACCTTTGATTAGGCTGTTCCCGCATGACAGAACACTTCTACTACTTGCTCTGATCACCCAGTCGTAAAGAAATTTGGAAATACGGGACAAAACATGATTTTTTAAAAACAAGTAAAATAAAAACAAACAAAAAAAACAGCAACTAAAAATAGAGCTGAAATACAGGACTGTCCTGGGAAAAACGGGACATCTGGTCACCCTACGTTTTACAGAAAACTTAATTTAAATTGCAGTAATATTTCAAAATATTATTGTTTTTTTTAAGCAGTTTTGACCAAATAAAGGATGCAGCCTTGGTGAGACCAAAAAAAATTAATTGCTAATTTAGGTCGCATTTAGGTGAGTTATTTAATCAATTCACCTAAATGAACTCCCAGTAATTTTGTTGATGAGATTAACACTGTTTAAACATTATTTTTTGCTATATCAGTGGTTGATGCTAGCATTCATAAAATTATATTTCAGACTGGCTAATGTGTTTAAACAAGAATTTAATTTAATAATTTGATGTATTTTGGATTATTTTCAGAGTGTAAAATTATATATATATATATATATATATATATATGTCCACATTTAGAATATTTGGTTTGCTGTAGCTCACAGCAGGCATGACAGTGATGTAAACTGTCGTAAGGAGAGGGCCAGTGGCATGCCCCTCACCCTCATGTATGGAGACATTTGGTTGTCAAAGCCCTGGAGAAACTTCTTCTCTATCTTTGATGTGCACTGATATGTCCTGGCTGCCTCTTCCGTCTGTGTCCTGTTCTAGACTCCACCAGTGTACTACATACTAATCATAATAGACACTTCCAGCTCAAGGACATATAAATCACATGCGGATCATTACTGAAATTTCTGTAGCTTGAGCTGCCAGTTTGTCAATATTTATAACCCCGGCTCAAGCTCTTTATTTAATTCTGCGTATATCTCTGTTTAAAATCATTGGTGGTGATGCATCCCATAGCAATGCCGCCGTATGGTTTAAAAAGTTAGTTTTGAAAAAACGTTACTGGAGTCTCAACAGATTAGCCTGTGGCTCCCATAGCCTGCAGTTGATACAACTGTCGAGAGAATAGAGCTAGAACCTGTGACAAGCCTCCTCAGGGCACAAAATCCAAATACACACACTCATTTCAGCCCCCACTAACATTTGGATAGGGAGCTTGTGCGGCTAGGGGTGTTCAGATTGAATTAGAATTGATTACATGTTCTTTTTCCCCTGAGTTGTGCCACAAAAGGACTAGCGTTATGCATTAGAATCAATTCAAGAAAATAGGGTACATGTGATTTCCCTCCTGCCAAGTCTGTGTCAGCTGATGTGCTGGTGTATTTAATGTCCCTTTGCTGCTAGCTGGAGATAGCAGTCATCTAGCTCTTCAGATTATAAATGCAGAGCTGAATGCAGCAGAGTCTAATGCGCTCTCCTGAAAGAGATGGCGCTGCATGGTGTACCGCGGAGGGTCACGTAGGAGCTGACTCCGGCTGTCTCTGCAGATAAGACACAATGTATGAAGCATAACGATATCCTTGGCACATTTGCAACAACACATACATTCATCCATAAAAACATACAATATATAAAGGATTTTGCATAGTACAAACCTCAGGAATGGCAAATATACTCATCATTGTTTTAAAGGTCAGAAATACCCTCTCTGCATTATGAATGAGTGCTGAGAGATTAGTCTTCATGGCTCCATATGTACAGTATTCATCAAGTCATATGTCATTTACAAACCTTCATGTATGAAATAAGAGTTTGTGTAATGCAGTGTACTCAAAGAATGCAGCTCAGACACCCGGATCATGTTTTATCTATTCATTTGTGATTGCATTAAAACTATGTTGAACTAACGAGGAATCAGTTGCTAATTCAAAGAAGGCGCTGAGGTTGAATGGAGTTTGAGTGGGATTTAGATGAGGGTAATGGCCAATTAAATGTTGCTATACATGTTTGCCTGTCACCCCACACAGGATTGATCCGTCTCCGCTCCAGCCCATCTCCTAGACTTCAGGGACTAAAGTACATCCTGAACGTAACGGCAACAGATGATAACGCCTCCAGTGGGCCGCAGTCACTCTCCGCCATTGCCCAGGTCATTGTAGGAGTAGACGATGTGAACAACAACAAACCTGTGTTTGAAAAGGTACTGTGCATATTAAAAATCAGTCTATTATCTATCTCTATGCATATCTGTTTATTTACAGTGTAATTATCTATTCTCTTTAACTCTCACATTAGCTCTGTTCCAAAACATCTACTACTTTTATAATATATATATATATATATATATATATATATATATATATATATATATATATATATATATATATATATATATATATATACACACACACACAAGTAGTAGATGTTTTGGAACAAAGCTAATGTGAGAGTTAAAGAAAATTGATAATTACACTGTAAATAAACAGACATCGCATATAATGCTTCACTTAGTTATTACACTTTTAAAAAAAAATTTATTTAAACATTTAAAGTCTTTATTTGTACGTTTTCTGAGAGGTCTACCTTCTTTGTTTTAGAAAGTTGCGTTTGTCCATCGGAAGCAAAGCACTTGCATCTGACGTTTTGGTTTCGATTTTGAAAGTAGCATGCAGGAATGAGAATATAAAGTGCAGGAGTTGATTGATGTTAAAAGAGTTAAGAGCGAAAATAATCTTACGCTGACTGACAAAGATGCCTCTCAGACAGCGTGCGGTCCCAATACACAGAATTACAATATTTCAAAATATCTGTCTTGGTGAGTCTTTGCACAAACAATCTGTTATGTCTTAACTGAACATTTGGTTAAATGTTGAGGAAAAACATCTGATGTGTAACATTATATTAGATTTGTGCATTACGTAGGTCTTAATATATCCTATAGACTGTCTGTCTCATTAATGTTAATCAAACAATAAAAGAAAAGGAATCACTCAGTGGTCTTGATTTAACTACTTTATTTGTAATGAATACAATAGACTAGTAATTTTTACATTTGATTCTGTTTATTTGTATCTTTGTTCTTGTTTTTAATAACAAAGATAAAATAACAAAAATAACTATCATGATAAATACAGTAATTATTATTAATAAAAGAATTGCAGGAAAAGATGCATCGTGATGCACCGAGAATAGTTTAATAGTCGGATGATCACCACCTGAATCGTAATCTAATCTAATTGTGAGCCAAGTGAAGATACACACCTCTAGTCGTAATATCTTCTGTGATGGGACAAAACATCCTGTACTGGGCATTGTGGTATCATGGAAAAAATAAAGTTAAACATACATTTTTCCTTTATATATATATATGGGTTTTAACTTGGTGTGTCAAATTTGGTGGTACAGTATTACCAGAGATTTTAAGGTATGGTTGTTAGGTGATTTTGTTTTGGAACCTGCAGAAAACTTTAACTAGATTTTTCTCAAAATTGATTTTGCTGACTCTATTGACTTCAAACACTGGCCAGTTGCATAACCTACTTAGACTAGTCTTAAAAGTTAGTCATACCATTTTTTTTTCTTCAAGACAAGTCATAACTTTCATTTCATTCAAATTTCAGTTACATAAAATGGTATATTGGTCTAATTTGAATCTGAAAAGTGAGACTGATTACAGTTACGGGGCTGACGAGACGTGAGACGTGCGGATCCATCTGCATGCTTTTATTTAAGAGAAGTGGTCATAACAGGCATGGGTCAAACAATGGCAAACAGGTATATGGCGGGCAAGACACAAGAATAATCCTAGGGCTAACGTAGGTCAACGATCGGTGAACATAATCAAAAGGGCGACACTAGAGGGATAAATCCAGGTACACAGGCAAAGATCAGAAACCGAGAAAACAGACAAGGCTAGGCTAGGCTAGGCTAGGCTAGGCTAGGAAACTAAGCAGGCTCCGTAATGTAGCTATCACAACTAACGATATGCGCATACAATACTCGGCAGTTAGAAAGGAGTGAGATTGAGTGTTAAATAGTGAGTGAGTGATATGAAACAGCTGTGTGCAATCAGTGCTGTGTGCAATCAGTGTAATGAATGATGGGATATGTAGTCCAGGGTGATATGCAACAGTGTGTGGTGCGAGAGTCAATTAAATGGAAAGAGTGACCTCTGATGGCTAGCAGACGGAAGTTCATGGACCGGATACGTAACAATTACCACTTGGTTAACTCCTAGTCAGTCAAACTAGCTCTTAAGACACAGTCTTAATATTGTAAGTTTATGCAACTGTCCCTTGGTGCAGCTCAGTCTTTTTTTTCTTTTTTTTTTTGGTCCGATTCCAAAAAAATCAGGTATCATTTGAAGGGTTTTTTTTAATAGAGAGTATGAAAATAACAATAACTCATTTTTGAAAATGTGCTCATTGTGGCTCATTTTGCCAGCACGGGTCTCACATATACAGTGGAGATCAAAATTAGAGAACAGCTACAATTTCCTACATTTCAAGGTCACTGCTTAGTCCTATTTGAACTTATCCTAACATGAGTAGAAGGGCAGTTTTTTTTAAGCATATTTCATAAATTAATTGTATTCTGAAGCACAGTATATATATATATAATTTATGGTGTTGGTGTTTTTTTTTATTTACCATAATTTTATGTTATTTCTGAATGTTATAAAATAAATGCAGATAAGTACTGAATATATATATTTCTAATTCCTGAATAACTTTATACACTGTATATATTCAGACTTATAACTACATATTCAAATATAATAATTTAATGTTTGGCCTATGTACATTATTTTTATTAGGTGCCTTAGAATGCAAAATAATAGCCTTCCTTTTGAACAACCTTTGCATCAACAGCCACCTATGATGACTTCGAATGCTGTTTCTCTAGGTCTAAAAGATTTGGAACAGAGCATTTGTCTTCCCTTATTCTCTCATATATTCTTGCTCTGTATTTTGTCTCTTTTTTTCTCATGAGATATTATTAGCAAAGCAACCTGGGCTGCTGCTTGATCAGCTGTAGACTTTTAATTAAGTGTTTGAAATATGTGCTGAATCATTATGGGTCTGCTTGCTTCCTGATGTCTCCAGTAAATATGGGCTGAGTGCAACACTGAAGATATTTGGAGGGTCTTAATCTCCCCAGGCTGCATGGTGAGGTGAGGAGATGCTTGGCCGTGGGCCGATGTTTAGTACTTAAAAACTTATTTTCAGGTCTGTGGAGTATTTTGTTTGAGTTTCTCTTGGCAGGGTGTGAAGCAAATTAGCATCCACTGAGATGCAAGACATCTCTTTAGTTTTTCAGCCAGCACGGGGAAGCCAAAGTGGCAGGTCTTGCTCCGCTGAAAGACCTCAGAGCCAGACTTCTCAAAATAAAATAAATAAAGCATTCATGCCACTGATCATCCTTAGATATTTTAACCCCATTCTGTTTTTGCACTCATTCTATTCTTTGCACGCTTTCTATTTATCTTTTTCCTTCCACTCTAGCTTCCTAGAATACCTTCATCCATACTTTTTAAGTGAGAAAAAGGGGTTGTTACTAAGAAGTAAAGTTCTTTGTTGTTTTTTATAAAGCTCCCACCTGAACCTTATGCCATTTCCCCCATCATATCTGTGTTCTGGAATACCAAACCGTTCCCGTGGATGTGTGAACATGGATCTCCACTGAGAAGTTCTCTTACTTGTAGGCCCACGGCATGTGTGTTTTACTGCCAGGTTTCTGGAGGTCTGTGAGTCAAGTCAAGTCAAGTCACCTTTATTTATATAGCGCTTTTAACAATACAGATTGTGACAAAGCAACTGAACAGCATTAATTAGGAAAATAGTGTCAATAATGCAAAATGACAATAGTAAACACTCATTTTTCAGTTAAAGACAGTTCATCATTGAATTCAGTGAGGTCAACATCCAGCTCAGTTTAAATAATATCTTTGCAATCAAGTCAACGATATCGCTGGAAATGAAGTGCCCCCAACTAAGCAAGCCAGAGGCGACAGCGGCAAGGAACCAAAACTCCAGCGGGGACAGAATGGAGAAAAAACCTTGGGAGAAACCAGGCTCAGTCGGGGGGCCAGTTCTCCGGAGATGGACTCAACAAGGGGTTCCATGCTTGATGTTTGCACGGCCAACCTTATGGGATTTCACATTCACCTGACTGATTGAACAACACAGAGTTTGCGGCCGCTTTTAGCTAGCTGCAGGATGAAAGAGACCATCACAGAAAGAACTGGGTCTCTTGTTATTAATTAGGTGTCAGATGTGGCCATCAAAGGGGAAGTTGGTGGACCGATTTGGGAATTGTCACCATGTATTTTAAAGGGATTTATATACTGTATTTGTTTTCCCAGAGTCTCAACTAACCTCAGCTATCTTAAGCTGAGCAAACTAATGATGAAGGGGAGGCAGCGCTTTCTTTTCTTTTTTTTTTTTATTACGCACACGTGCAAGGATGAAGAATGTGTGTGGGTGGTGGAGCATGGCTGAATTATCCAGGCTTATTCCAGACGTCTCCACAGATTCAGTGGGATGGAATTGATTCAAGGGCACTTCAATTATAAAACAGAGATGAATCTCAACAGAACCAAAGAGATAAGGATTAATACGCCTCCTCAAACATTCTTTGTACCATCAGTGTGCGTCCAGTCCACAGTGTTTACTGCTTTTCTTATTCATCTCTATTTCTATCTTTCAATCGCTCCAATTCTGTTACTTTAAATTACTTGCTATTTAGTAATGGTTCACTTCTGCTGCCCTTACAGTATCAGCTCCTTGGCATTTTTTGTCATTAGCACACTTACAGTATGTCTTGCACAGATAGTCTAATCAGTGAAATTATGTTCATTAATTTAATAAATCAATCAATAAAGTTTTGCTTTTATTTGGTTTTGTGTTTTGTTTTGTTTTTGAGTGATCCAATCACTAGTGGTAAATGCAGCTGTCTTGTTTTGTTTTAGTTTTTTTGTTTGGTGCTACATTATGTGCTGCTTTAAAAGTAATTTGCCATTGAATTTAATGTTTAAAACATTGTTCCTGCTTTTATTCAGTTTTGTTGTGTTTTGTAAACAGTGGCCCTCGGAGATCCTGTTCACAAGCTTTGATTAAAGTTGCATTGGAGACCAATATTAGCAGGTGTAAACAATAATGTGTTTCAGCTGACCGCTTGTGATCTGATCACCCAAGACAGATCCTAATACAAGTGTAAAGACCCTTATAAGAAAGTTTGGTTTACTATACATCTTCCTTTTCCTTCTCTGTTTTTCCCTCTTACAGTGTGCTGAGTATAAAGACAAGTCATCAGTTCTGGAAAATAAGCCAGCGGGAACATTTGTGCTGCAGGTCCATGCAGATGATGCTGATGAAGGAGCCAATGGAAAAGTCACATATGGTTTTATGCATAAAGACAGCACTGTTCCTGCCTTCAGCATTGATCCAGAAACAGGTAACGATTCATGTGCACATTTTCAATGAGTTTATTCCTGGTTCAATGTATACTCAATTACTGTACTGAGAGCATAAAAGTAAATGTCTCCATTTTTTTCCAAAATAATCAGATGTCATTGAGATAACAGTCACAGGATTCGAAACGGAACATTTTTCTAACACAACCTTTTTAATGTCTCATTAAGCACTTTCTTATAATGTCATGCAGTCACTGTTGACTCTCTCTCTCTCTCTCTCTCTCTCTCTCTCTCTCGCAATGAAATGTAAGCCTTGAAGTATTTTCACGAATTCAAACTTGAGTTTAACTCACTTTAATCATAGCCTTTCAAAATGTGCTCTTTCAAAAGAGAAAAGACAGCATTTAAATGTGTTGTCTCAAGCCCTCTTTTTAAAGAAATGGAATGCTTTATGAAATGTAACTGTTCATTGGACATCAATCAGTGTGTCTTTTATAGAGGAGAATAAAGAGAGAAAATAGGAATGGAGAGAAAATTGACAGAGATTTGACACTCTGTACAAAAATTAAGGAATATTTCGCACAAATCTGCTGTGCATCTAAATGATGTTGTTTTCGTGGTTTCAAACGATCATTTCATTCCTTTTTATACAAGATTAAATAGGGATGTAACCTTACTGTGGGTTACAACAAAATTATATTATCTGTTGTACTGTGAATTTATATGTATTAGAATCTGGTGAATGTTGCTTAACTATCAGTGAACAGAAGCTCAGTGGTAACAGAGGTACTTTTTCAGGTGTTATCGTAACTGCTATGACGTTTGATCGGGAGAGGCAGAGAGAGTATGCAGTAACAGTGACGGCCACGGACCAAGCGGCGGACCCCCTCATAGGCATCTGCCAGCTCAACATTCTTATCCTCGACGAGAATGACAACAGCCCCAAATTTGAGAACCTGCGCTACGAATGTGAGCAATGATCACCTTCTTTTTAACATCTTTCATGTTTCATACCTGTTGAGTTGTACATTGCTAAGAAATATAGGCACTAAGTGTTGTTAAATATCCATGCTGTTCTAAGCTGCTTTACAAAGTTTCCTAACCAGGTGCTATGCTGGACAATTTCAACAACAACCAATTTGTCTGTCCACATCACACATTAAAATGAGGCAAGATGTGACAGTCAATCATAAAACACAACCAATCAGAACAGTTGTCTCGCAACACTTTGCAGCTGAAGAGTGTAAAACTAAAACATGTCTTACATGTTCATGACATCCATGAAGCTTATGCAGAATAGATGCTTTTTATGATTTTCCATTTGGTGCTTGAGGGATTTATCATACAGTATCTGGGCCTAGTTGCATAAACACAGCCACCAAACTTAAAAGATCCAAAAAGTTAATCCATATGAATCGAACAGATTAATCCAAATCTTGTGAAAAGATACGACCACTTTATATGATGAACAGATTTCATTTAGGATTTTATTTGCATGTAAACACATGCATAAAGCATATATGATAAACAGCAAAACTTAGTCTATTTTTAATTGGTGAACCGATTGCTGAACAAACTTCTGTCAGCTGGTCAAACAGCATGATCTTTCTGATAAAGCTGGTTAGTGGAGAAAGTCATTTTCCTCACACATGCCTAATACTACATCACAGAACTATATATCAAACTGATTTTGAAATTAATTTATTTTGGTTAAGATTTATCGAAGTATCCAATTTCAAAGATAGGATCAGAGGATGTGACAGTTATCAAAGCTTTGTCGTCTAATTATGCACCAGCAGAACAGTGTTTCAAGTGCAATAATCGGAGTCTTGCTACTAACAGACTTCTTACGTGAGGACACCATGATCGGGACCAGTTTTCTGCGAGTGGCTGCACATGATGATGATTACAGCACTTACGCGGCCATCACTTACTCCATGTCCGAGGAGCAGCCGGAGTATCTACGAGTGAATCCACTCACTGGCTGGATCTACGTAAACCAGCCAATCTCGCAGGTCAGTCCTGCTCCAAACAACCAACTTGGGCTTATTTTGAACTGTGTGTTAGTCCTGATAGTTGAAATCGTGAGTTCACCTGTATGTGTGGGTGCTCCGTGCAGTCAAGACGTTGCATTTTAAAAAGTAAGTTTCAGACTTGAACTTTCTCAGGAATAGTTTCCAACAGAATGATTCATCATTAATCCCTCATAGAGTCAGGAGTTCGAGGTGTTTGTAAACGGATCCAAAATTACGTTTGCAACATGAATATTGCATAGTTCTTGTGTGAAGTTTTAAGTGTGAATGATTTAGCAGGTCCACAACTGTTTCTCACAGCACTCCGCTCAGATGATTGATTTGGTGGTAACAAGATCTTTTACAGATTCTGCTTGTTTTTGTGAAGTTGATGAGATAAATAACGTCGCACAGAAGTACAAAAGACTTATTTAAGCATTAATAGTGATTACTGATGGGGTGATTGTTTGTGTGTGAGTAGGTGTTTAGGTTTGAAAGACACTGATATCGGACCACCTTTGACAAGAGACCTTTGTAAAACTGTTGCTATGACTACCAAGGTCTTGTGTCGGCTGGTGTATATGGTGAGGCTTTGTGTGTCCGTGTTTGAGCATTTGTATATGTTCTTTGTGCGATTACAGAGGGTGGGCGAAAATTGTTTAGCTGTCATTTCGCATCATTCGACATGCAGATACGAAGCTGAATGCAGTGAACACAGACAGCTTCGGTGATTTTGCTGATAAGCACAGGCACCTGCAGTGAGATGACAATGATTACAGTGCTGTATCTATCTGTTGTGTTGATGCACTTGACACAGTTCCATTTAAAGGTCATCCTTGGTGTTGCCGGGATTTTAAATTTTGTTGATGCCAAGAACCCCCAAATATGATTATATTCTTTGTGGAGGACCAGCCTCTTAAAAATTTTTTAAAAAGGAGTAGGCCTATTTTCACATTTATACTGTAAAAAGTAAGTGTTCTATTTTAAAGAGAGATGTAATATAGAAATAGTAATTTAATAAAATATGAACTACTGTTATTTATGATATTGTGTGTGTGTGTGCATTTTGTATGCAGATTTATTAGTATTCTGTTAAAAATTGGAATAAAATAACTGCAATTAATCTCATTTTTGTTTTATGCACTCTTTGAAACATTCATATTATCAAATTATTTCAATGTGTTAATTTTGTTAAAAATATATATTTTTAATAACTTAAGCTAATATGCCAAATTTGACATCCCTAAAATATTTTGTAAAAACTGTTTTCCTTCTTTTCTCATATTCAAATATTTCACCCTGGGCTCTGGTTTGAATAAAATTATTAGGGGTGTGCCCGAAGCCTAATACCTTATTCGGAAAGGCACGGATAATGGCTTCAAAAACGAATAACAGATAATTAATTCTGCCCGAATATTCGGCTGAGGATGCAGCACAGTCTGGTGTTTGCTAGATTCACAGGTGAGCCAGGGGATCAGTGCCATATTTTACTCAAACCTCTAAATTCACACAATAATGAGTGTGTGAAGTGAATGAATGTACACTTTATGAATGAAAAGAGCGCAATTGCTGTTGCCACTCCATGCATCTCAGAGCTTCAATCAGAGCTTGGCAAGAGTAGGCCTTATATTGCCTAAAATAATACATCATACACGTTCTACTATTTGTGTATATATAAAAGGCAATGATTGAATAAGCACAGCGCGCTCGCCAATCAAACAGCCGCGTTGCCGGATACAGATACATTTTCTTCTAGGCCTACATGTTTGCTTTTATATGTTTTGCTGGTTTGCGGCCCATGCACATTTGTTTAGTGAAGTTAAAAAAAAGACTCGTTTAAAGAGTTCTGCAAAATGAAAACGTGCACCTTGAATGCATTCAGTCGTGTTCAAATGATCACTAAATATTTGTCATGAAATCTTCCTACTTGTATTATAAATTTATTTTTTAGAAATTATTAATTTTATATTTTAGAACACTGAATAGAGCAAATAGTCGAAACACAAATATTTTTTCCATACTATGTTCTCTTTACATAGCAGGAACCGGTGAGTCAAAGGAAAACATGTTGTTTTACATAAACCTCTAAAATTACAACGCAGTAACAAGTGTGTGAAGTAACTAAATGAGTTGAATAAAATAGCAGTGTTGCAGCTGCCTTTTTCCATGCATTTCCTCGAACTCACGTTGCTTGAAGCACAACCGCACTACATCTCGAAGCACTGCCTATACAAGGAAATCGGCTCCGACTATTAGAAGATAAATAATTGTTATAATCATAAAAAAATATATTATTTTAGTTAAACAGTGCATATTTGTTCAGTGATAACTATGAAAAATATGGGCTGTAAAACCATAAACATAACGATCAAATATAACTGTACGGAGTTCTGGTTCAAGCTCTGCCTACTTCCAGTTTTATCCAAATACAGGTACCGTACAGATACAAATCATTTTGTGATTGTTACAGATACAAGTACTGGCTTCGCTGCACACCCCTAAAAATTATAGTCTTAAATTGTATTTGACGTCTCGATAATTGTGTTTGACTGTTTCCAGAGGACCTACATCAGCAGGCAGATCATCGCTACAGATGGAGGGAATCAGAGCAGTTCAGTCGAGCTGGCAGTCACCATCACTAACGTGAAGAACCAGCCTCCACAGTGGGAGAAGGACACGTATGAGGTCGTCATACCTGAAAACACTGTCAGAGACACTCCAGTTGTGGTATGCACTTAACCTAACGCTAAACACTTATAAACTACTAGATCTACAAATATGTGAATTATGTAGATTTATGCCTGTATGCCTGCTGCACTTAATAACAGGATCAGAGTCATGCAGGGTAACAAACAGTGACTGTCAGTGACTCCACAGATATTCAGATATTCAGGATGATTTCACCAATACTAAATATACTGTGAATGAAGGACCAAAACCAAGAGGCAAAACAAACATACAGCTTCTGCTAAGTGATTTATTACTTGGGCCTTTGAAGCACACCTGTGAGGCACTCCATTAATAATGACCATGTCTTTCATGTGTGCATTGAAAGAATGCTATGATGGATGTGGATAAGTTTTAATTCCAAAATATGGTTCTGGGTATTCCTTGAGGGGCTTTAGTTCCCAGACACTGTCGACTTTACTGTCATGTAGCCTACTGGCAGTTATGACTGACAGTCTGTGCTTTCTGCTCGACCACACAGATTCTTCATACTGCCTGTCACAAGTCCACAAGTACACAAAGGCACGCACACACATACACATACACATACACATGCCATTTAAAATAATTGTAAGATTCTCTAAGCTCCAGTCCCCACTTCAAGCATTTCAGTAGCCCTGCCATGAATCATCTGATCCTTCGTTTCAAATTTTAAGGACGTTGTTTTGTTACAGTCACTATTTTGGAAGTCAGCCAATCGCTGAATCACTGGATAATTTATGGACATTTATTTTTTTTATTTTTTTTCATTCGATTACAAATGCACTGAAAGCATTAATTAGCAGAATTTCCTGGAATACATTAATTTCCATTAAGACCATTATTAATGCAGATGAGCATTTCATGAAGAACAGCATAAATAAACAGGGCAAGGAGGAACAAAGGGCAGAAAAAAGGAAAATGAATAAAAATACAAAAATAGAGAACTGCACAGAGATAGCTCTTGCTGTTCTCCTTCTAACTGATCTTGTGTTAAATGGTGTTTGTGTTGTTCTTGGTATTAATCTGATCCGTAGTGGTGATATCCTTACAGTTGCCCCATTAACAGAGATTCACAGATGTTATATTTAAAGACAGAGACTCAATTCTCTTAGGACAGAAAGAGAAGTATTTGATGGTGAACATGGTCAACTTGTGTCTTGCTTATTGCTTATCATATGTGTATATATATATTTTTAGAACACTGAATAGAGCAAATAGTCGAAACACAAATATTTTTTCCATACTATGTTCTCTTTACATAGCAGGAACCGGTGAGTCAAAGGAAAACATGTTGTTTTACATAAACCTCTAAAATTACAACGCAGTAACAAGTGTGTGAAGTAACTAAATGAGTTGAATAAAATAGCAGTGTTGCAGCTGCCTTTTTCCATGCATTTCCTCGAACTCACGTTGCTTGAAGCACAACCGCACTACATCTCGAAGCACTGCCTATACAAGGAAATCGGCTCCGACTATTAGAAGATAAATAATTGTTATAATCATAAAAAAATATATTATTTTAGTTAAACAGTGCATATTTGTTCAGTGATAACTATGAAAAATATGGGCTGTAAAACCATAAACATAACGATCAAATATAACTGTACGGAGTTCTGGTTCAAGCTCTGCCTACTTCCAGTTTTATCCAAATACAGGTACCGTACAGATACAAATCATTTTGTGATTGTTACAGATACAAGTACTGGCTTCGCTGCACACCCCTAAAAATTATAGTCTTAAATTGTATTTGACGTCTCGATAATTGTGTTTGACTGTTTCCAGAGGACCTACATCAGCAGGCAGATCATCGCTACAGATGGAGGGAATCAGAGCAGTTCAGTCGAGCTGGCAGTCACCATCACTAACGTGAAGAACCAGCCTCCACAGTGGGAGAAGGACACGTATGAGGTCGTCATACCTGAAAACACTGTCAGAGACACTCCAGTTGTGGTATGCACTTAACCTAACGCTAAACACTTATAAACTACTAGATCTACAAATATGTGAATTATGTAGATTTATGCCTGCTTTTTTACTGCACTTAATAACAGGATCAGAGTCATGCAGGGTAACAAACAGTGACTGTCAGTGACTCCACAGATATTCAGTACATAAAGATGATTTCACCAATACTAAATATACTGTGAATGAAGGACCAAAACCAAGAGGCAAAACAAACATACAGCTTCTGCTAAGTGATTTATTACTTGGGCCTTTGAAGCACACCTGTGAGGCACTCCATTAATAATGACCATGTCTTTCATGTGTGCATTGAAAGAATGCTATGATGGATGTGGATAAGTTTTAATTCCAAAATATGGTTCTGGGTATTCCTTGAGGGGCTTTAGTTCCCAGACACTGTCGACTTTACTGTCATGTAGCCTACTGGCAGTTACGACTGACAGTCTGTGCTTTCTGCTCGACCACACAGATTCTTCATACTGCCTGTCACAAGTCCACAAGTACACAAAGGCACGCACACACATACACATACACATACACATGCCATTTAAAATAATTGTAAGATTCTCTAAGCTCCAGTCCCCACTTCAAGCATTTCAGTAGCCCTGCCATGAATCATCTGATCCTTCGTTTCAAATTTTAAGGACGTTGTTTTGTTACAGTCACTATTTTGGAAGTCAGCCAATCGCTGAATCACTGGATAATTTATGGACATTTATTTTTATTATTTTTTTTCATTCGATTACAAATGCACTGAAAGCATTAATTAGCAGAATTTCCTGGAATACATTAATTTCCATTAAGACCATTATTAATGCAGATGAGCATTTCATGAAGAACAGCATAAATAAACCGGGCAAGGAGGAACAAAGGGCAGAAAAAAGGAAAATGAATAAAAATACAAAAATAGAGAACTGCACAGAGATAGCTCTTGCTGTTCTCCTTCTATTAATGAAATTTATTATTATTTTAATAATATATTATATAGTACTTTAAATATGTGAAAATGTGGGGTTGGCAAGATTAAAAAAAAGGCTCATGCTCACCAAGGCTGCATTTATTTGATCAAAAATACAGTAAACACGGTAATATTGCACTACAGTTTAATATTTAATAGTACTATAATTTTAATATGACAATTTGGTGGTCAAGAAACATTTCCAATAGGAAACTGATCACTTCTGATCAATTTAATGGATCCTTGCTGTATAAAATAATTGCAATTGTATTGATTTAAATTAAATTAAAATCATATTGACCCCAAACTTTTGAATGGTAGTGTATAAATGAAAACAATTTCCTCCTTGCAGACTATCAAGGCCACCTCTCCGCTGGGCGACCCGAGGGTGACTTATAACTTGGAGGATGGATTGGTGCCAGAGAGCAACATGCCTGTTCGTTTTTACCTAACCCCGAATCGTGAAGATGGCTCTGCTTCTATACTTGTCGCAGAGCCCTTGGACTATGAGATGACCCGCAACTTCATGCTTAGGGTTCGAGCTCAGAATGTGGCTCCTGTTCCCCTGGCTGCCTTCACTACTGTTCACATAAACATCACAGGTAAAGGATATCCATATGGCTCCGCACAGCTGAAACAGGTTTAGAGGTTGTCATGAGAAAAAAAAAAGTTACATTTACTATTGGCAGTGTATTCCTATCTGTGCAGTCTCTTATGCAGCCTAATAATCCAACTAATGCTGTAGCTCAACCAGAATGAAAAACCTTCATGTAAACGTTGATTTAGCTCAGTCCAGTTTAAAAGAAGTGGTGCTGATCTTATATAAATCATTAAATAGAGAGTTCCATATAAACCTTTCATGAATTTAGATCAGATTTAACCCTTAAATGCATACCTCAGGTCTTTAGCAACCCGGGACATCATTCTCTACCCTCTCCCTCCTTCATTTTTTAAAGTTAGACATCAACTTTCTTAGTATTCCTCAATATATTAATTATAAAAAAATATAACAAGAAAAAAGTAGTAATATATAAAAGAATGCCTGCATGTTTTCTGATAAATTTTTGTAAAAAGTGTGTAAACTGAGAGACCCGAGTTATGTAAATGTGCAAGTATTTTTTCCTGCGCAACTATATTTACATATCTGATGACTCGATATGTGCAATGCATCTTTTATCCTCAAGGTAGCACTGTTTTATACACAATGATAACGTGACGTTTCACTCATAATTACCGCAGGCAACTAATATCATCAGCAAAAATTGAACTGGTTTGAATGGCTTTACTGCAGAGCAATTACTATACGCAGTGAAATATAATGGCACTGCCATTTGATGCTGGATGTGGTGAATAAGCTGTCAGTGATCAAAATATTGAATAAGAAGTCATTGAAAACGATAGTTTTGAGAATATAGTTGAGATCGCGAATAAGAGCCAGATGCTGGATGTAGCCTACTGGGGAAGTGCGCTCTAACGATGACAGCGATGGTGAAATTATCTGCTCAAATTGAACCCTTTTAAGTTTGAAAAGGTAACAAAACATGCTTTATTTTATTCTTCTGTAATTGTTCTTAAAATATCAAGAGTTTTTTGCTATTGCAGCAGTTAGAGATCTATCCGTGCTGGATATATACTGTTTGCCCGGGTCGCTAAAGACCCGAATATGTAATAATGATTGGCGAAACATTTATGCATTTAAGAGTTAAAAGTACCTTGTATGCACAACCAGTACAGTGAAGGACAACACTATGCATGTAGTTAGAAACTAAGTTCAAATAATTTAAAGGACATGAGGTAGATATTACAGAAAGGTATTACAGGCCTGAAACATTTCAGCATAGCTTTGATGTAACTGTCAAAACATATACAGTACTGTGCAAAAGTCTTAGGCCGCTAGTATTTTCACTATTCAATTCAATTCAACTATTCAATTGTAATAATTCAGTGAGATTTGTGTATGCACAAGAAGTCTGACAAGAGCCAGTGCTCCACCAGAGATCTGATCTCACCATCATCTGTCCGTCTGGGATTACATGAAGAAACGGAAAAAACTGAGAGAGACTAAATCCAGAAGAACTGTGGCAACGTTTCCAAGATACTTCAAGAAACCTTCCTGCAAAGATACAATACTGTGAAAAGCTTTAGGCACTTGTGTAAAAAAAGTGAGGATGCTTTCAAAAATAATATCATAGATAGATTGTATTTATCAATTAACTAAATCAAACCAACATTTGGTGTGACCAACCTTTGCGTTTAAAACAACTTTTGTCCTGGGTGCACTAGTTTTTCAGGTAGCTTTGCAGGTAGGATTCTTGAAGTGTCTTGGAGACGTTGCCACAGTTCTTCTGAATTTAGTCTGTCTGTTTTCTGTTTCTTCATGTAATCCCAGACGGACTGGATGATGGTGAGATCAAATCTCTGTGGAGCACTGGCTGCTGCAAGACTCCTTGTGCAGACAAAAATCTAACTGGATTACTACAATTAATGGTAAAAGAAATGTTTTGAAATGTAAACTGATATTTTCTACTGACACACTTCAGCAAAAGATAGAAGTAACTGGCATTTTTTTGTTGGTTAAAATACTAATGGCCTAAGACTTTTGCACAATAGTGTATAAATACAGAATTTTGACTATAATGAGATGTAAAGTGTAGTGTAACATGAAATGCAGCTCTTTGCATGTGCAGAGATTATGTTAAGAATACATATGACACAAATTGATATTTTCACCAAATTGTGGAGCTTAGGATGCATGTAAACATTCAATTTAGACCATTTTAAGTCAGATGGAATTGATTAAAAGGAACAGAGTTCTGTGCTTGTCACTGTGGTGCTTGTTTACAAACCATTAAAATTGATAGTTTTTGCCTGCACTTTATTTCTTATCAAAGTGTCTTAATATCTACACTTTAATCACATTTAAAATGACAACTTTTAATCTATTTCTTGTTTGAATTCCTGTTCCTTGTCCTTACACTTGTTAATTTCTTTTTATAATCCAATCATGCTCTTAAACTCTGATTATTGTGGAATATGTCCTGTAGCCACGACTCTTTAATAGCCTTTATTTCATCCCACCCTGTCGGTTTGCCTCTACTTAAGTATTCCTCTGTGTTCATCTCTTCCAGTGCAGGAAGTCTCTGTACTTCCCCTGTAATTTACAGAGTTTGCCCCGCAGTGTTAATCTGGCTCTCTCTTCATGGATGAATCATTTGCTCTCCCCCAGTTATGACTGCTCCATAATACTGAACCAGCTACAACTCCAGAAACAGTCCTCCTACAACTCCAGATGTATTAACATACATATTTTAAGTACTGCATTCTTAAAGGTGTCATATGATGCTGCTAAAAATAACATTATTTTGTGTATTTGGTGTAATGAAATGTTTATGCGGTTTAAGGTTCAAAAACATACTTTTCCACATACTGTACATTATTGTTTCTCCAAAGAGAAAGGAAAAATTGAAATCACATCTTATGACCCATTTAAAAGATGTATGTTAATACATCTGGAGATCTATGAGGACACTGGCACCTTATCAGGATCAGTTTTGTAATCTGAATGGTAATATCTTCATAGGAAACACTTTATCGTTCAGCGTAAGCCACAGACAAATAATATGTTCTGTTGCTTTTGACTTATTTACACCAGTGCTTCTTTCTCTATGAAAGAGTACAGCCAGTGCCATGTTCAAAAGAGAGGAGGGGGGGAGAGGCAGATCGAAATGAGGGATTGCTGGATGGAGGAGGTCGTAATGGATTTGGCCTTCCTGTTTAATTCATGGTTTACGGCTTTGGCTGATAGAAAATTAAAACCTCAAAGTACATCAGATGGTGATTAGTGTCTGGAATCATTGAACCCATTAAAGATCTTACCCTAAATGCCAATGTCCTCATGTCCCTTCTAGTACTGGGAGCAGCACATTTTAGGAGAGTAGGCTTGGTCTTAATTTCCTCTTGAACACATAGAATCCACTAATGTAATAAGGTTTAGATAAGACATAATGTCAGAGTTAAGATAAGTCAGATTTGTTTCTGATGGAAAGCCAGAGTTTCCTTTCAAACGGTCTCTCCCATTGCGTCGCTGACACTTATGGGGCAACTCCTGTTTACTCTAATACTGAAGCCTGATTTGATCATGTTTGTGTAACTGTACAAACCAGTGGTGCTTCAACCAACCAAAAGGGGAGGAGCCAACTATATAAGTCGGCTCAGAGTGCCATTTTGTCAGAATTTTTCTCCTTCAGTGACGAAGATCATTTCCTCGCTGACTCTGCAAGCAAGAAGCCGAAGAAGAAGAAAGAAGCTCAGCCTGCAGTTCACCACCATGAGAAGGAACCCCCGGCAGCAGAAGAATCCAGAAGCCTTCCCCTGTGGCTATCCGGTGTATTTAAGCAAATTTCTGAGCAAATTTCCAGCGGCGTTGTTTCAAATGTCGCGATGCAAGTGTGACTCAGACAGGGAACCCATGCAGAGGCTGCGCTCACCAGTACGGAGTGCTCTCACTGCGTCCCAAGGTTTTTTCTCCATTCTGTCACCGATGGAGTTCTGGTTCTTTGCCGCTGTCGCCTCTGACTTGCTTAGTTGGGGACCCTTAATTTCCAGCGATATCATCGACTTGATTGCACCAATACTAATTAAACTGAACTGAGCTGGATGATGACATTACTGAATTCAATGATGAACTGCCTTTAAAGCTGCAGTCCGTAACTTTTTTTTTGGTTAAAAATGATCCGAAATCAATAGTTGAGCAAGTACATGACCAACCAATGTTCAAAACTATCACCTTAGTTTAGTCCGATTCACAATGGTAAGCTTATAATAATGTTTTCTAATTTGAGTGGTACGGGTAGGTTTTCGTGGGAAATTCAAACATGGTACTGCGTCATTAAGTCACATCTGTAAACATAAATAAGTTGTCCTGGCTAGTAGGCTATATCGCATGTGCGGATCCTGCAGGTGGCGCATCATTTATAGCCTTTTCTCACAGCAGCTTGAATAATTTATTTTATCATTTTGATGGCGTATTGTAATTCAGAAAGGATTATGTGTTTATGAAACACATGTGAATGAAATTAAATTATATTCCAGTTTTAAATGTGCATCTGATTACAGATAGCCTGGGATTACACAAGATCTGTATTTTAAAGACAACCAGTTCGAAGGGAGCATCATTTGCTTTTTGGCTAAAAATAATTTCTTAATATGAAATTCGAATGGTATGACAATTAGAGATTAGACTGTACAGAAACTGAAATCACACGCTAATATACACTATACTCATAGTCACGCAATGCTGATGTTAACATTGATAATTTGAGAACAAAATATAACAATAATAATAATATGCACGGTTTGATGTGATATGAGCTAACCAATCATTACACTTAATCACCAGTGGTAGCATGATTTACTGTAATAATTTTTTCCCCAGTTGGTCAGAACAAATGTGGCAGACTTGTTACTTACTTGTTTAGATGACAGTATACGGTGAAATTTCTTATTTGGGTCATATATTCCAAGACTAGTAGGCTAGAATCTGGGATTGTGAAGTACAGTAAATATCCACACCGGTGCCGTGACTGACTACCACACATTCACCACAAAACATTAGATTAATCTGCGCTGGAGCACAACCCCACGTATGGAATACAATTCCGCACACAGCTGCAATTACAGGTTTTCACACAGAGATGGCGACAAAGAGGCAAAACTTATGGACTGCAGCTTTAACTGAAAATTGAGTGTTTACCATTGTAATTTTTCATTAATGACACACTATTTTCCTAATTAATGCTGTACAGTTGCTTTGACAATCTGTATTGTTAAAAGCGCTATATAAATAAAGGAGACTTGACTTGTAAGTGGAGAGGGTTATGCTATATAGTCCTCATCCTAAGTGGCTTGGGTCTCATTATTGGCTTATGCTTACAGGAGCCCTCAGTGCGGGTGATCCGGGGCTGGGCTCGCAGAGTGGCTTCGTTCTGCACTTGCTTAAAGCAAGGAGCTATTGGATGAGCTCCCCATAAGCATCAGCAACGCAACAGGAGATGGGGCTGGGCTCGCAGAGTGGCAAGGAGCTATTGGATGAGCTCCCCATAAGCATCAGCAACGCAACAGGAGAGACCGTTCGAAAGGGAAATGCTCCAGTTACTAACGTAACCTCGGTTCCCTGAGATAAGGGAGTGAGCATTGTGTAGGCTGCCGTGCTATAAGGCTGCACGCAAATGACTAATGACTAAAGACAATGACTGTTACTTCAGTTGAAAGATTCTGATGAAATGGCACTCAGAGCCGACTTGTATAGCGGTCAGCTCCTCCCCTTTTTGCGGGTTGAAGTGCCATTGTTTCATGCAGTTACACGAACGTGAACAAATCAGGCTTCAGTATCAGAGTGAACAGGAGTTTCCCCATAAGTGTCAGCGACACAACGCTCCTTCCCTTATCTCAGGAAACCAATGATACATTAGTAACCAGTGCATTTTAACTTCCCTCAATCTACCATGGATAATTTCTGCTTCATAGTCAGGTGGCTGAAACTCCACCTAAAGAGGTCAAACTGATGCATACATCAGTTGTAATGTATGATGTAAATGCTTAAATATTGATCCACATGAGTAATTTCTTGTTAAAACTGTACGTACATATGTTATGTGCACCAAGGCCACATTATTAATTTTCTTTGAATGACAGGGAGCCCAATATCAGTGTGTAACAGACTTACAATAAAGCCAACTGAAAGTCTTTCCTTTTGTACCAACCAAAGAAAACTGATGAAAATATTATACAAATTGTTTGTCAAGTTTGACTGTTTGACTGTCTGCTGTTGACAGATGTCAATGACAACGTTCCATTCTTCACCTCCTCCATATGCGAGGCATCTGTGACTGAAGGGGCGGAAATTGGGACTCTAGTTCTCCAGGTGTCAGCTAATGATCTTGACCTGGGACTGAATGGGAAGGTATGAACTAGTGTTTTTCAATTGAAATAGTTATTCACTCAGTCAACATCCGTCTGTAAACACTGTGCTCATACAGTACACTATGCTAAACAATATGCTCACTTTTGAAAGATCTGTACAATTCAAAGAACATTTGTGATACAGCCACGTTTTAAATGAGGATGAATGAAATTATCTTTATACTGTATCTCACTATGACCTCCAAAACATTTCTTCTGATAGAACACTGGCTACTATTTCTTTGCAGTATTTATATCATATTTCAGTGGGAAGGCAAACATGTCTGTAGCTCTTATATTTCATTATTTTGTAGATAAATGTATGTACTGCACACGTTCAAAGACATGTCACTTATATTTTTAATTAGAATGATATGCAGTCTGTCATTCTATATATCATTCCACCATTCAAAATATTTTAAAAATGTTTTGGTAGAAGTCTCTTATGCTTAATAAGACTGCTTTTATTTGATCAAAAAATATAGTAAAACAATAATACTGTGAAATAATAATTTTATTACAGTAGAAAGTATCTGTTAGTTTAATATATTTTAAAATGTAATTTATTTTATGGTGACAGCTGGATTTTCAAAGCCATTATTCCAGTTTGTCACATGATCATTCAGAAATCATTAAGTTTGGCTACTTAATGTTTTTGTGGAAACTATAATAATTTTTTTAGGATCCTTTAGATGAATAGAAAGTTCAAAAACAGCAGCATTTATTTGAAATATATATTATTACAACATTATAAAAGTCTGTACTATCACTTGATCAATGCTTTTGTCCTTGCTATATAAATTTACAACAAAAAACGTACTATATATATTGCAGACTCCAAACTTTTGAGTATGTTTCTGTCGTTCTATTGGTCAATAGTGAACATGTGCCTTTCAGCAGTCCTCTGAATTACAAATGCCATGCAATGGCACAATAATGAGTGTCATTTGTGGGTGTGAATGCTAATATCATTATTTTCTCTACAACACCCCCTCACACACAGCCCATATTGTGCCAGATGGGGTTTGCTGCATGTTTTATTAATCTGACCCCTGCAATCATTTTATTATGCCTTTTACATTTAATTCAGCCTCTTACTTGTGTTCTCAGCTCTAATGTGGCCGGCAGGGCATCATTTGATACTCACACCATGCTGGTTTAGTGCAGCCATTCAGAGCAGCTTGTCTGGTAATTGTTGTTTGGGCCTTGTTGAAACAGCAGTTGGCACTTCTTCCTCAATTCAACAGTTTTGGATATCTAGATTAGCTTCATTATTCTTAACTTGAATGGCCTTGATTTCTGCTTTACCTGCTGGGAAATTGCCAATATGCGTTACAGGCATTATTGACAAAACAGGAGGTCTCAACTTCAGGTCAGAACGATTGGTGAATAAATTATGGGGAAAAGGCTGGATTGTTTAATTACATGTGGTTAGATGAGGCGGAATAGCGTTTGACACGCATATACATGCACATAGGCAGTAACATGTACATAGGAAAACCAGTATTAATTGTTAAAGTCGGCACGAAATGGAAGTTGCGATTGTCTTTTCTTCTCTACTGTGACATACTGTATATCCGAGTGAAACGGCATCTGAAATGAGAGGGCGGGACTTGATTTCGTCCTTCGGGAATTGATTGGATCGTTGGAAGCTGGGGCGTTGCTAACAAAATGGAGGCAGATCTGAATGCTAGTTTGCAGTTAGTGGTGGGGGATTACTCTCTGGATTCACAGCCGACACCCAAGCATGAATAAATGTTTTATCTATTAAGGATGACGACGACGGTCAATGGCACAAAACATGCCTAAACAGCGCACGCGTGCGAGAGAGAGAGAGAAAGAGAGCGAGACTGCCTGAATGACTGAGCGCGTCCTCCATCAGGTTAAGTCATATTCATGAAAAAAAATTGTTTGCGATGTCCTATGAGTTATGTTGTCATAATATCCTAATATCTTTTCAATGTTTAGGGGTAACGTACTCCCTCATGACTGGTGTCAGTGCTATAAAGTGAAGCATCAGCTTCAGCTTTTCCCCCTGTTGTTTATCCCAGCATTTACCCCTCATGTCACTAGCTCTGCCCTTGCACCATAGCTCGTGACCAGAAGAGAAGATGAGTCGTTTTGAGGGGGAGGGGAGGTTAACGTTTTTAGGACCTAGAGATGACCTCGACAGCCATGAATGTCAGCGGAGACCAGGACAACTAAATGAGCCCTAGAGACAGATCCCCAGTAAAGACCTTGTCTCCTAGACAGCCACCGGGACAAGACCACAGAAACCAGTTGAGTCCTCTGCTCAATGTGACTTTGCTGCAGCCTGGATTTGAACTGCTACTTTCGTCTGGCCAGAGGAGAACTGGCCCCCGACTGAGCCTGGTTTCTCCCAAGGTTTTTTCTCCATTCTGTCACCGATGGAGTTCTGGTTCTTTGCCGCTGTCGCCTCTGACTTGCTTAGTTGGGGACCCTTAATTTCCAGCGATATCATCGACTTGATTGCACCAATACTAATTAAACTGAACTGAGCTGGATGATGACATTACTGAATTCAATGATGAACTGCCTTTAAAGCTGCAGTCCGTAACTTTTTTTTTGGTTAAAAATGATCCGAAATCAATAGTTGAGCAAGTACATGACCAACCAATGTTCAAAACTATCACCTTAGTTTAGTCCGATTCACAACGGTAAGCTTATAATAATGTTTTCTAATTTGAGTGGTACGGGTAGGTTTTCGTGGGAAATTCAAACATGGTACTGCGTCATTAAGTCACATCTGTAAACATAAATAAGTTGTCCTGGCTAGTAGGCTATATCGCATGTGCGGATCCTGCAGGTGGCGCATCATTTATAGCCTTTTCTCACAGCAGCTTGAATAATTTATTTTATCATTTTGATGGCGTATTGTAATTCAGAAAGGATTATGTGTTTATGAAACACATGTGAATGAAATTAAATTATATTCCAGTTTTAAATGTGCATCTGATTACAGATAGCCTGGGATTACACAAGATCTGTATTTTAAAGACAACCAGTTCGAAGGGAGCATCATTTGCTTTTTGGCTAAAAATAATTTCTTAATATGAAATTCGAATGGTATGACAATTAGAGATTAGACTGTACAGAAACTGAAATCACACGCTAATATACACTATACTCATAGTCACGCAATGCTGATGTTAACATTGATAATTTGAGAACAAAATATAACAATAATAATAATATGCACGGTTTGATGTGATATGAGCTAACCAATCATTACACTTAATCACCAGTGGTAGCATGATTTACTGTAATAATTTTTTCCCCAGTTGGTCAGAACAAATGTGGCAGACTTGTTACTTACTTGTTTAGATGACAGTATACGGTGAAATTTCTTATTTGGGTCATATATTCCAAGACTAGTAGGCTAGAATCTGGGATTGTGAAGTACAGTAAATATCCACACCGGTGCCGTGACTGACTACCACACATTCACCACAAAACATTAGATTAATCTGCGCTGGAGCACAACCCCACGTATGGAATACAATTCCGCACACAGCTGCAATTACAGGTTTTCACACAGAGATGGCGACAAAGAGGCAAAACTTATGGACTGCAGCTTTAACTGAAAATTGAGTGTTTACCATTGTAATTTTTCATTAATGACACACTATTTTCCTAATTAATGCTGTACAGTTGCTTTGACAATCTGTATTGTTAAAAGCGCTATATAAATAAAGGAGACTTGACTTGTAAGTGGAGAGGGTTATGCTATATAGTCCTCATCCTAAGTGGCTTGGGTCTCATTATTGGCTTATGCTTACAGGAGCCCTCAGTGCGGGTGATCCGGGGCTGGGCTCGCAGAGTGGCTTCGTTCTGCACTTGCTTAAAGCAAGGAGCTATTGGATGAGCTCCCCATAAGCATCAGCAACGCAACAGGAGAGACCGTTCGAAAGGGAAATGCTCCAGTTACTAACGTAACCTCGGTTCCCTGAGATAAGGGAGTGAGCATTGTGTAGGCTGCCGTGCTATAAGGCTGCACGCAAATGACTAATGACTAAAGACAATGACTGTTACTTCAGTTGAAAGATTCTGATGAAATGGCACTCAGAGCCGACTTGTATAGCGGTCAGCTCCTCCCCTTTTTGCGGGTTGAAGTGCCATTGTTTCATGCAGTTACACGAACGTGAACAAATCAGGCTTCAGTATCAGAGTGAACAGGAGTTTCCCCATAAGTGTCAGCGACACAACGCTCCTTCCCTTATCTCAGGAAACCAATGATACATTAGTAACCAGTGCATTTTAACTTCCCTCAATCTACCATGGATAATTTCTGCTTCATAGTCAGGTGGCTGAAACTCCACCTAAAGAGGTCAAACTGATGCATACATCAGTTGTAATGTATGATGTAAATGCTTAAATATTGATCCACATGAGTAATTTCTTGTTAAAACTGTACGTACATATGTTATGTGCACCAAGGCCACATTATTAATTTTCTTTGAATGACAGGGAGCCCAATATCAGTGTGTAACAGACTTACAATAAAGCCAACTGAAAGTCTTTCCTTTTGTACCAACCAAAGAAAACTGATGAAAATATTATACAAATTGTTTGTCAAGTTTGACTGTTTGACTGTCTGCTGTTGACAGATGTCAATGACAACGTTCCATTCTTCACCTCCTCCATATGCGAGGCATCTGTGACTGAAGGGGCGGAAATTGGGACTCTAGTTCTCCAGGTGTCAGCTAATGATCTTGACCTGGGACTGAATGGGAAGGTATGAACTAGTGTTTTTCAATTGAAATAGTTATTCACTCAGTCAACATCCGTCTGTAAACACTGTGCTCATACAGTACACTATGCTAAACAATATGCTCACTTTTGAAAGATCTGTACAATTCAAAGAACATTTGTGATACAGCCACGTTTTAAATGAGGATGAATGAAATTATCTTTATACTGTATCTCACTATGACCTCCAAAACATTTCTTCTGATAGAACACTGGCTACTATTTCTTTGCAGTATTTCTATCATATTTCAGTGGGAAGGCAAACATGTCTGTAGCTCTTATATTTCATTATTTTGTAGATAAATGTATGTACTGCACACGTTCAAAGACATGTCACTTATATTTTTAATTAGAATGATATGCAGTCTGTCATTCTATATATCATTCCACCATTCAAAATATTTTAAAAATGTTTTGGTAGAAGTCTCTTATGCTTAATAAGACTGCTTTTATTTGATCAAAAAATATAGTAAAACAATAATACTGTGAAATAATAATTTTATTACAGTAGAAAGTATCTGTTAGTTTAATATATTTTAAAATGTAATTTATTTTATGGTGACAGCTGGATTTTCGAAGCCATTATTCCAGTTTGTCACATGATCATTCAGAAATCATTAAGTTTGGCTACTTAATGTTTTTGTGGAAACTATAATAAATTTTTTAGGATCCTTTAGATGAATAGAAAGTTCAAAAACAGCAGCATTTATTTGAAATATATATTATTACAACATTATAAAAGTCTGTACTATCACTTGATCAATGCTTTTGTCCTTGCTATATAAATTTATAACACAAAATGTACTATATATATTGCAGACTCCAAACTTTTGAGTATGTTTCTGTCGTTCTATTGGTCAATAGTGAACATGTGCCTTTCAGCAGTCCTCTGAATTACAAATGCCATGCAATGGCACAATAATGAGTGTCATTTGTGGGTGTGAATGCTAATATCATTATTTTCTCTACAACACCCCCTCACACACAGCCCATATTGTGCCAGATGGGGTTTGCTGCATGTTTTATTAATCTGACCCCTGCAATCATTTTATTATGCCTTTTACATTTAATTCAGCCTCTTACTTGTGTTCTCAGCTCTAATGTGGCCGGCAGGGCATCATTTGATACTCACACCATGCTGGTTTAGTGCAGCCATTCAGAGCAGCTTGTCTGGTAATTGTTGTTTGGGCCTTGTTGAAACAGCAGTTGGCACTTCTTCCTCAATTCAACAGTTTTGGATATCTAGATTAGCTTCATTATTCTTAACTTGAATGGCCTTGATTTCTGCTTTACCTGCTGGGAAATTGCAAATATGCAATATGCGTTACAGGCATTATTGACAAAACAGGAGGTCTCAACTTCAGGTCAGAACGATTGGTGAATAAATTATGGGGAAAAGGCTGGATTGTTTAATTACATGTGGTTAGATGAGGCGGAATAGCGTTTGACACGCATATACATGCACATAGGCAGTAACATGTACATAGGAAAACCAGTATTAATTGTTAAAGTCGGCACGAAATGGAAGTTGCGATTGTCTTTTCTTCTCTACTGTGACATACTGTATATCCGAGTGAAACGGCATCTGAAATGAGAGGGCGGGACTTGATTTCGTCCTTCGGGAATTGATTGGATCGTTGGAAGCTGGGGCGTTGCTAACAAAATGGAGGCAGATCTGAATGCTAGTTTGCAGTTAGTGGTGGGGGATTACTCTCTGGATTCACAGCCGACACCCAAGCATGAATAAATGTTTTATCTATTAAGGATGACGACGACGGTCAATGGCACAAAACATGCCTAAACAGCGCACGCGTGCGAGAGAGAGAGAGAAAGAGAGCGAGACTGCCTGAATGACTGAGCGCGTCCTCCATCAGGTTAAGTCATATTCATGAAAAAAAATTGTTTGCGATGTCCTATGAGTTATGTTGTCATAATATCCTAATATCTTTTCAATGTTTAGGGGTAACGTACTCCCTCATGACTGGTGTCAGTGCTATAAAGTGAAGCATCAGCTTCAGCTTTTCCCCCTGTTGTTTATCCCAGCATTTACCCCTCATGTCCCTAGCTCTGCCCTTGCACCATAGCTCGTGACCAGAAGAGAAGATGAGTCGTTTTGAGGGGGAGGGGAGGTTAACGTTTTTGATTAAAGATTACGAGGGCATATGAATTTTAAAAAAAATAATGAAGTGTACTGATAAATTATTTATAATAAACACTACAGTATTCCATTAAAAAATTATATTTTCCATTTTGATTTCATGGTGGCTTTAATACATTTTTCACACAACCCTGTTAACTGTTCTGTGACAGATTTGGCATTATTTCTCCTCTGTATTTCATTTATTTTTGCCAATTTCTTTTTTTGTTGTGTCTCAGATCTCATACTCCCTACTGAATGACCGTAGTGGAGACTATCAGTACTTCCGCATTGATCCTGAGCTGGGCACCATCTACACAGAGGCTGTGTTTGATCGAGAGACCAAGGAATCTTACCTTTTGGAAGTGAAGTCAGTAGATGGCTGGGAATCAGCCAGGCCAGGGAAGCATGGACAGCCTAACTCAGGTACAGCAAGCCCTATGTGGCAGAGTTACAGTAAATGGTTAAAGCTAATATGAAAATAGGGAAAATATTCACACTTATTATACATTATACAACAGTTACTTCCCATCCTCAAATCTGATTGGTTGAGCAGCATTACAAAAATTCTGATATACAGTCCAAAATCACCGGGACTGGATTTCTGTTTGTAACATTGTTACGTGCTTGTAAATCAATAGATGGCCACAGTTCAGTAATTGAATCATTCATTGAACTAATTAATTCAAAAACACTTTTATTCAGGAATGCTACTACTGTGTGTGGTGCAGAAATACACAAAGTAACTGACAATCAGGGTTGGAAGTTAATGGGAGTATGGGTCAAAAATACCACTAAAATGACTGAAAAATGCCCCTAATTTTGAGATGGGGGCAGAAAGTGCCCCTGTACGGGTTCTTGTCTTTATATTTATAACATAGCATATAGTTAAGCAATATCAATGTAAGCTGTTTTTCCCGAATACTATCACAAGTGCTGATATGATAATGATTTTATACCACAGTCCAATACACAAGATGTTGATATTAAGTGACTTACTTTTCAGACAGTTTCACCAATGAAAATAAATCCACACAAAGCCACAACAAAACTGTTGCACCTCTACGAACAAAACACCACTGGATTTTTGAATGAATTAGGCAGATCAGTGAATCAATGACCTTTAAAGACATCCATTTGCGTGGTTCCTGAATTAATCAGCCACTTGAATGATTTGATTCAATGGATGACTGAATCTAAGACTCACTCATTGGTTTGATTGTACTCAAGATTGGTTTGCACTCTGAACATTTTTTTTTACTTAAATTAAAGCAGTTCATAATGTCATGAGATTAATGCAGCTTCTGAGCCACATCTGCAGTCCAAAGAAGGATTTTGTTGGCACTGATTTCATTTGATTGGTAACAGCATTATAGTTGTTAAACTAAATTTAATAAAATATAAGAATTTTACATAAAAGACAGTGTATACTTATAATACACTCCTTGAAATCAGTTTAAGGGGGCAAATATATATTCTTAATAGAAAGTAAATTCCACTGCTGACAATTGTGTCTGGAAAGAAAGTTATTCAATAACAGCTTTATTGAACTGTTGTATAAAAGCAATATGACACTTGCAGTCGGTATTAGGCTGCTATAAATACAATTTAATTCTCGCACATTTTGATTACGACTTCCACTATATAACCCATTTTAAAATCAAAATGCCTCTCTTAAATATTCAGGAATCATGCAGACAATATTTAATGCATGTGTTTGTCACTGTCATTAGGGTCACTGATGCTATCAATAAACAAGAATTTATTCAAAATTCATACAAGTTAGTAATTACAGCTGTCAGTCACAAACACTGACTGTTTGAACATAGCCAGTGGGGTTGTGGGACTTCACAATACAGAGCTAAAGAGGATCTAAAGTTCAGGGGAATATTTCCATTAGCTGCATAAAATATTACATTGCATAATCCTTGTTTAATATAGACAGCGTGACAGTTTGATTGGATTTGTTAGACCACAGGGCTAGCCAGAATCTCACACAAATGTATTTTTCATTCATTGTGTGGAATATTAACAGTGTCTCTTTTGCCTTTGCTTTGCCTAAATAACCCACTAACACTTGAAGTCAGCTAGATAAAAGTTGCTGCTTTAAATGTTGATGAAGGTGCCAAAGGAGAGGGGGAAATATCAGGGAGCAGCAGGGACAGTCTGAGAAAGAAATGAATCTGCTCCAATTCTCTCTGTCTGTCTGCTCACCGTTTGCCCTGCACTCCAAATAGAGAAGTCGTGCACTCCAACACACTTACAACTGTAGTGAAATACACAAATGTAGATTATCAAATTGACAACACGGCAGTGTCAAATATGGTTGAGCACACAGGAGACAGAGTGTTGATTAGCGGAGAGTCACATGTACACACACATAATTACTCAGAAACATGTGAATGCTAATTGTACTAAGATGCTGTCAAAATGTCAATATGACAAGGAAACAAAACAACACAAGTTCTCTTTGAGCAGAAAATGACACAACAGAGTTGGGCCTCTGCATTTGTGCCTTCATGACGGGGCTCTGAACAACATGCCAACCTGTCAAAGAGTGGCAGCTAAGCGTATGCTGTGCTCTTTTTACACAACATAACATGTCAGAAAGAGAGCAGGATCAAGACTCGAATCAGAGTCTATCTGCCTCTCACAGCCCTGACTGAACTGAAGGCTCTGAAAAGGTCACGGCATGTTTGATTGTTAAAGTAGCATATGATTTTTTTTTTGCTTTAAAGGGATATAGTTCACATAAAAATGAAATGTCTCCTGTCATTCTAAACCTGTATGACTTTCTTCAGTGGAACATAAAATATATATATTGAGAGATTATCTCTTCTCAGTGGTTACCAAACCTTTTTGGTGACCAGTATTCTTCAAAATGTCTTCTTATATGTTCCACTGAAGAAATCATGTTATAACGTTTTGGAACAACATGAGGGTAAGTGATTTTGATGCAACCAACCCAAGTTTGAATCTGCTTTTTTCTGATTCCATTCTTCTTGTTCCAGTCGCATATCAGCTCGGAGAAGCATTTCTTTTGAAATAAAAATTAATAAAATATTTAAAAAGTGCAAATAAAGTGAAATAAAGCCCAAAAGGTATTTATTATTGGAATTAAAGTGTGTTGGATAATTTAATAGGCCTTTAATTGAAATAGGATGAGGTGTCCTCACCTTTATTGGAGGTTTAATACGGTTAAGGGGTTGGGATTTAGGGATTAAGAAACAAGTAAGGTCCCAATATGGCAGCCATATTTCCATTTATGATTAAAAATATATATAATATATACACTGAATTTGTTATTATCATTATTGCACAGTTTTTATATTGTACTACAATACACTGAAGTGTGAAAGGTATCTGCCACTATCTGCACAAAGTATAAATAGCATAGCACTATTTATGCTGTGTGCAAATATCCTCTGTCTTTCATTTCTGGGTGAACTTTTCCTTTAATAATTGCTCTTATCTTAAGCAGCAGATTGTAATTGATGTGTCTACTGATAACTATATCACATAGAGCTCATTTAAATGGGGCAAGTATCACAAATTTCACTTGCTTGCACTCAGTAAACACACAACTCCCAGGGTTCTTCACATCACCTAATGACTTCAGACACGACGTAGAGCCACACGCATGAGAAGAAGATGGAGAGATGAAGATGGTCAGAAAATGAATGAGACAAACAGAAGGCACAGGAATTTGATGGGATTGGAAATGTCAGATATTTACAAAGATGGGAGGGAGGAGAGAGAGAGAGAAAGAGAAGTGGGAAATAGGCAAACACTCGAATGTAAGAAAGACGAGAAAAGGGAAGTAAGATAAGAGTAATGTCTGAACGCAAATTGCTAATCTTGTGTGTTTCTACTCTTGTCAGATACTGCGTATGTGCGTATTTTCATCAGCGACGTGAACGATAACAAGCCGGTGTTTGCGCAGTCTGTGTATGAAGTCGACGTGGATGAGGATGCTGACGTGGGCTCCACCATCCTCACAGTCAGCGCTAATGATGAAGATGAAGGTAGGTGAAGATGAGGAGGGGCATTGGATGATGGGTAGAACAATATGCTCATTTGTAAGATGGAAGTGGGAAATATGGAGTGTTGACTAGGAGTGAAAATGAGGGTCGTAGATTTGAGAACCTGACATCACAGCTCAGGTGTGATCTTCAAAACTTGATATATTTTGTACAAGTTGTAAAGGAAATGTAGAATAATGAATTTATGAAGAAGAAAAAAAATCAACAACATAATTAATTATAAGGTAAAATTGTACATTTTTATTATATGTTTAATTTTATATTTAAAGATTAATTCAGAATTTAAAAAATATGGAAAAAAGGAAGATCAATATTGATTCTTTCAATATTTACAGTGTTACTGCAGTTGGATTACATTAGGGCATAAACCTCTCACAGGGCTTGGCTAGCACACAGCGATATTAATGAAACACAGTTAGAACATGTTCCCATGAGTTTGAGTTTGTCTCCAAGCTATTGCTCTCATATTCTTCTGCTCCATGCAATAACATCTGTACCACTCGTGAATGAGAGACGGAGACAGTTGGTTCCTCATCAATATACCCTGAGAACATAACAAATGCTGCTCCCAAGATAACCAGCCTCATACATTGCCATTCAAAAGCCTTGGCTAATATATTTGTTTTATCACACACTCCAGAAACACGCACAAAGAGGATAGTCTACATAACTCATCAGCCAGCCTGTCTTGGTATATAGATGCACTACTGAAGCGTGTAATTCCCTGTGGTCCAGTTGAATCCATGATTAGATGCCGGAGCGAGGAAGGGAATTCTTGTATCAGTCATTCATCATAATACAGCCCGGAGTGGCTGGACATTCCCTGAGCCTGAAACTTTACCCTGATGGATGGATTTGAGCTTTCTCTGCAGCTCTGACTTAACCCTCGCAGCCACTGTTGCAGAGCCACGGGAAACTGGCGAGACATCATAGTACATCTGTACTTGCATAAGGAAGCTGCGCTTGATTCTGTGCATTAGCAGAAAATGCAGATAAGCCAAATATTCCCTAATGCAATTTTGTGGTGGTACCCTAGGCAACAAGAGATGGTGGAGATGAAATGGCGATAAGGCTCCTAATGTGTCGTTCCCTATTCATTAACCTCGTACCAGCAGGGATATCCAAACACACTGCAAGATCTGAAGGACTGTTAAGCAGGAGTGTTTTTGCTCTGTTTGCTTAACTGGGTTATTTGTTTATATGACGTCTCTTTGCATGTATTACCTACCTCTGAGAGATTTAGTCCTAAATACAAAATAATAAGTAATAAAATAATAGAGTAATAAAGAATGTAATAAAATAGCATGCTCAAAACACATGCATTGCATCTTTCACTGTTTAATTATCAGAGCTCAACAGGGGATCCAAACATTTATTATAACTTTTCTTTTAAGCTGGTTTCGACTTTGTGCTCCATTCACTTACATCCGTTCGCTTATGAATGAAATGTGTACAAAAGTTCAGGTTTGGTGAACTCTGACCTGCAAATTAAGTTAGCACAAAGACATTTGAGCAACAGAGAACCTAAATATCACAGAAACAATATGCTCATTTGTAAGATGGAAGTGGGAAATATGGAGTGTTGACTAGGAGTGAAAATGAGGGTCGTAGATTTGAGAACCTGACATCACAGCTCAGGTGTGATCTTCAAAACTTGATATATTTTGTACAAGTTGTAAAGGAAATGTAGAATAATGAATTTATGAAGAAGAAAAAAAATCAACAACATAATTAATTATAAGGTAAAATTGTACATTTTTATTATATGTTTAATTTTATATTTAAAGATTAATTCAGAATTTAAAAAATATGGAAAAAAGGAAGATCAATATTGATTCTTTCAATATTTACAGTGTTACTGCAGTTGGATTACATTAGGGCATAAACCTCTCACAGGGCTTGGCTAGCACACAGCGATATTAATGAAACACAGTTAGAACATGTTCCCATGAGTTTGAGTTTGTCTCCAAGCTATTGCTCTCATATTCTTCTGCTCCATGCAATAACATCTGTACCACTCGTGAATGAGAGACGGAGACAGTTGGTTCCTCATCAATATACCCTGAGAACATAACAAATGCTGCTCCCAAGATAACCAGCCTCATACATTGCCATTCAAAAGCCTTGGCTAATATATTTGTTTTATCACACACTCCAGAAACACGCACAAAGAGGATAGTCTACATAACTCATCAGCCAGCCTGTCTTGGTATATAGATGCACTACTGAAGCGTGTAATTCCCTGTGGTCCAGTTGAATCCATGATTAGATGCCGGAGCGAGGAAGGGAATTCTTGTATCAGTCATTCATCATAATACAGCCCGGAGTGGCTGGACATTCCCTGAGCCTGAAACTTTACCCTGATGGATGGATTTGAGCTTTCTCTGCAGCTCTGACTTAACCCTCGCAGCCACTGTTGCAGAGCCACGGGAAACTGGCGAGACATCATAGTACATCTGTACTTGCATAAGGAAGCTGCGCTTGATTCTGTGCATTAGCAGAAAATGCAGATAAGCCAAATATTCCCTAATGCAATTTTGTGGTGGTACCCTAGGCAACAAGAGATGGTGGAGATGAAATGGCGATAAGGCTCCTAATGTGTCGTTCCCTATTCATTAACCTCGTACCAGCAGGGATATCCAAACACACTGCAAGATCTGAAGGACTGTTAAGCAGGAGTGTTTTTGCTCTGTTTGCTTAACTGGGTTATTTGTTTATATGACGTCTCTTTGCATGTATTACCTACCTCTGAGAGATTTAGTCCTAAATACAAAATAATAAGTAATAAAATAATAGAGTAATAAAGAATGTAATAAAATAGCATGCTCAAAACACATGCATTGCATCTTTCACTGTTTAATTATCAGAGCTCAACAGGGGATCCAAACATTTATTATAACTTTTCTTTTAAGCTGGTTTCGACTTTGTGCTCCATTCACTTACATCCGTTCGCTTATGAATGAAATGTGTACAAAAGTTCAGGTTTGGTGAACTCTGACCTGCAAATTAAGTTAGCACAAAGACATTTGAGCAACAGAGAACCTAAATATCACAGACTGGCTGGATTCAAATAACACACAATCTTAAAACTATGTGGTTTGCCGTGTTGTGAGGTCACAAGTATTTTTGCATACTCAAGTGTAGTTGTGGTCTACTGTACTGCAGCTCTCATTGGCTACATTCACAACACAGGTGATTGAGACCGAAATCCATTTTTTTAGTGAGATTGTTCTCATGTCCTATTAAATGTGCCAGCCAATTTTATCTAACACCATACAATCAGTTTGTCATAGTGTGTTAGGCTGTGTGTCCACCAAAGCATTTTTTTTTCTTGTGAGACTAGCATATTTTTCAAATGTTTTTAGTGGGAGCACATATTTTCAAAAACGGCAGAAGCGTGATGAGGCGCTGAGAGTCTATTTTACACTGTGCATTTTTTTCTTGCTATTGAGAGTTGAAAAATGTTCAGCGTTGAGTAAAATGCATCACTGTCACTTTTTATCTAGCCGTCCAGTCACAGTGGAGGAGAGGCAGGACAAATACCACACCAACCAATGTCACATCCTACTTATACCATGACTGAACAACAATGGAGGAGAAGTTAATATGCTTGTAAAAATAATAATATTATGAGTATTCACACCAGATGAAATTCCTGGACTAACACCAATATTGAGAAACAATTAATTTGCGATGTAACTGCCACATTACTTCAGTGGATATTTCATCTCATAGCAACCAAAGTGTCTTAAAGAAAAAAAATTATAAATAATAAAAACACCCTTTTTAAATATGTAAGATTAAATGTATAGTTATATAATGAAAATGATCATTTACTCCCCCTCACTTCATTCCAAACCTATGACTTTATTTCCTCTGTGAAACACAAAATAATATATTTTGAACTTTGTTTTTTAGACACCTATTTTCTTCAAAATATATTTTGTGTTTTGCAAAAGAAAGTCAAAGAGATTTGGATTGATTCCACTTTTTTACCTTTCTTCTTCTAAATCAAACTAAACTGTCAATGATTTCATTCAGAAATAAGTTAAATCTTAGTGGCATGCGCAAATGCACAGAATGGGGGTGGGTTGTGGCATTGACAGAATTAAAAAAAAGATACATTTAAGATACATGAGTCTTGAGCACTATGTTTTCTTTTGAGTTTGAACATTGGGTGCTTCAGAAGAGACAGCTGAATGGACCTTTGATTGAATGTCTGACAAGAGCTATGCAAAAGTACAAAGCAAAGTTTTAGTGCAGGACTAATCAGAAATAAGTGAATGTTTTCATGGACCATTGTTAAAAATGTTTAGAAAATGAATATCATTTTTCATTTAGTTTTATCTTCACCTAATTTGAAGTTTATTGGTCTATGTTTCCATGGTGGTGAGTTTCCAAGGCTAATCTTGACAATAACCTCTAAAGGCCATTGAAGCAGTTTATTGTTCACCTGCAGCAAAAAGCTTGTTATCGTATTTTAAATAGATACATTTTTATTTTTTTGCTAATTTTTCCACTTTTAGAAGTTTCTGACTTTTAGCCTTTTGTTCAGTAGCCTTTATATCAGTGTCAGTGTAGGTCTTTGCTTTCCTCTTTATTCCTCTTAAGATTTAATTTAGAAGTTAGAAGTTTTCTTTGTTTTCATTAACTGCTCTTATTCTTCAGGTGCTAACGCCAAGTTACGCTACCAAATTACATCAGGCAATGTGGGAGGTGTTTTTGACATGGAGCCCGAGGTGGGAACCATCTTCATTGCCCAGCCATTGGACTATGAACAGAACAAGTTCTATAAGTTGCACATCTTGGCCTCCGATGGGAAGTGGGAAGACTACGCTACTGTAATAGTGACTGTTGTGAATAAGAACGATGAGGCACCTGTGTTCTCTGTGAACGAGTACTACGGCAGTGTGACAGAGGAGATGGACGGTTCTCCTGTCTTTGTGTTGAAGGTACTGCCTTTAGATTCTCTTTATCGTACATATCAGCTCTTTTCAATTTTTCAGATCATATATTTGTTATTTTAAAATAGCAACTTTTTGTGGCCCATATTCCTTAATTTAAAAAAGAAAGAAAATGTTAGAAGTTGCTCTAAATTGTGATTTACCACATTATTCTTCCATTAATAGGTTTTTGAAACTGAATAATACAACAATTCATTGGAAATTGCCCAAACACTCATTTATGTTACCTTGTCAGGGTATTTTGTGTTTCTTAATTATAGTGAAAACTGTGATTGATTTGTTCTGTTGAATGCATTCAACATTTTGAACGAGTCTCTAGAGGTTCATGCATAATTATTAAAGTCCAAAAAAAGTTAATTATTAAAATTCTGAATTTGCAGCTAGTGACATCACTTTATTTGTCCAAAGATGTGAGAGGCTCATTTTCAATCTCAATGTTTTTTTAGTTTTTTTTATACAAAAGTTGGTGGAGATAATCTTATTTCCTAACTTTTTTTAATTTTCTTAGTCAAGAATTAGTTTTGAGTTCAGTTTTTGTTTCTTTCTTTCTATTTTTATTTATTTAGTATTTTTATTTATTTTATTATTTTTTTTGCTATATCTATCGAATGGATGCACCGATAGATACAGCAGATTAACAGATAGGCGGACAGATGGATGAGCGGATGGATGAATTGAAGGTTGGATGAATGGATAGATTATTAGATCTTATGTTAGAGGTTGCAGACTGAGGTTTTAATATATTCTCTTTGATTTTGTAGGTAACAGCATCTGACCCAGATAACGATGCTGACCAGGAGGCTTTGAGATATTCCCTTCATGGTCAAGGTGCTGAGAGCGAGTTCATTATTGACGAGGTCACGGGGAAGATATATGCTCAGAGAACATTAGATCGTGAGGCCCGGGCAGTGTGGCGTTTTGTGGTCCTGGCCACGGATGAGGGTGGCGAGGGACTAACGGGTTTCACCGATGTCATTATCAACGTGTGGGACATAAACGACAACGCTCCTAATTTTGCTTGTGCTCCAGACAGTTGCCATGGTGACGTATCTGAGAACTCCCCGCCTGGCACTTCCGTCATGGAGATGACAGCCACTGATCTAGATGATGCGGCTGTCGGACAAAACGCAATGCTGGCCTATAGAATTGTGGGTAACGCTGCCCTAAATGGAGCTAACAACGGAGCAGATGTGTTCAGCATCAATCCCGCTACTGGGACTGTTTCAGTGGCAATGTCAAGCCTAGACAGGGAACAGACTGATTCGTACGTCTTGGTGGTTGAAGCACGAGATGGTGGAGGTATGATAGGAACGGCTACCGCGACTATACACGTGACGGACATCAATGACCACGTCCCACGTTTCCTGGACCGCACGTGCTCCGTACGCATCCCTGAGAGCAGTGATCCCAACACGCTGATCATAGAACTTGAAGCAGAGGATGCGGATGCTGGAGAGAATGGCCAGCTGACCTTCAGTGTGGTGGCCGGTGACCCCGAACAGAAGTTTTACATGGTGAGTCATCGACAGGAGCAACGCGGGACCCTTCGTCTCAAGAAGCATCTGGATTACGAAAGACCAGGTGAGCAACGCTTCAACCTCACCATAAAAGTGGAAGATATGCAGTACTCCAGCCTGCTGCACTGCACTCTTGAGATCGAAGACTGCAACGACCACGTGCCGGTCTTCATTCCTCACTTTATACAGCTTCCAGCCGTACGAGAGGATGTCGCTCCAGGAACTAGCGTGGCGAGTGTGGCTGCCAGTGATTTGGACTCGGGGTTGAATCGTGAGATCACTTATAGCATTGCTTCAGAGTCTGATCCTTACCATCTGTTTTCTGTGGACCAGTCAGGGTTGGTCACTGTGGCTAGTGAGCTGGACCGGGAAAAGGTCGCACAGCATCATTTGGTTATACTTGCGACAGACCACGGCACGCCACCGTTGACTGGCACCGCAACTATCCAGATGGCTCTGCTGGATGTCAACGACAACGGCCCTGAGTTTGAGGCTGCATACGCACCAATAGTGTGGGAGAACTTTTTGGGCCCACAGGTTGTGCGGCTTAACCAGAGCTCCACATTACTAAAAGCCATGGACCGAGATTCAGAGGAGAATGGCTCACCCTTTTCCTTCTCTGTGCCTCTGGAGTATCGTTACAGCAATGATTTCCGCCTGCAGGATAATGGGAATGACACTGCCACCATCACCGCCCTGAGAGCCTTCGACAGGGAAAGACAGAAAGAGTTTCTACTACCTGTCATTATGACTGATAGCGGCAGTCCACCAAAGACCGTCACAAACACACTCACTATCACCATCGGCGACGAGAATGACCATGCCCATATAGCTGGACAGAAGAAAGTGTTCATCAACTGTCACAGAGGTAATGGCTTCAACAATATAAATATGTACTAGCAGATAAAAGGGTCAGTAATGGTTAAATTACGTTTAATTAAATGGGCTGATACAATTTCATTTAAATCGAGTGTAATATTTGGTGTGTGAGTTTATCTGTTAAATCAGTAGTTTCTTAATTTATTTTAATTGTTTATGATTGTTTGTATAAACCATTTATATCATAAATATAATAAATCTTCAAAAAGCTGGTTGTTTATTCAAAGTTAGAATAAACTAGAATTCTATGATAGAGAAATAACACAGGAGATGGTTATATTAAAATGGTGTGCATACATTATTTATATATTTATTTTCCTGGTTTATATGCATGTTTAATACACTACCATTCAACAATTTGGGGTCAGTAAGCTTTTATTTAATGTTTTTTTAAAGAAGTCTCTTATACTCACCAAGGCTGCATTTATTTGATTGATATAATGTAACAATATAATATTGAGGACATTTTATTACATTTTAAAATAACTGTTTTATATTTTATTATATTTTATTTCTAATTAATGTAATTTAATGTATATTATTCCATAATGGCAAAGCTGAATTTTCAGTCCTGAATTTACTCCAGTCTTCAGTGTCACATGATTTTTTTCAGAAACCTTTGTAATATGCTGATTTGATGCTCAAGGAACATTTATTGTTATTATTATCAATCTTGAAAACAGTTCTGTTGCTTAATATTTTTGTGGAAAATGTGATACATTACTTTCAGGATTTTCTCGTGAATAGAAAAAGAACAGCATTTATTTGAAAGTTTTTTTTTTTTGTTTGTTTGTTTGTTTTTTGGTGACAAAAGTTTAATCCATCATTGCTGCATAAAAGTATTATTTATTAATTACCAAAAAAAAATTTACTCACTTCAAACTTGTGAATGGTAGAGTCTATTGTAGCTTTGTCTATTCTACTGCAAGCCTCACGCTATTCCTTAAGGATTGAGAATAGCTGTAGATCTGTAGTCAATATATTTTTGTATGTCATATTTGTACCAGACCTCAAAAGTAGCCCGGGCCCAGGCCATTGCAAACATTTTATCTATATTTTTATCATTTATTCAGCGGCTACCGATTATCCTGCTTATGCCATGGTTACCATACCTCCAAACATTGTTCAGAGGTGTTATTTTTCTTTTTGGCCTTAAAACACTATTTTGTGTAGAAATAATTTCTTATAAATCCCATCCCAAGATTGATAGGTTGAGCCCCCGCTGATAATTCCAAAATTTTAGGGTTAGTACTTTTAGGGTTAGTAACGGGGGCTTGAGTCATTGATACTGGATGTGATTATAAGAGAAAGAGAGAGTTTAACATTTGTAAGCTGTAGGTTTACCTGCTTCAAAAACAGCAACCTTACTACCCTGCTACGGAGAGATGTCATGTGGCTTTTCAGTTGTGAAACTATTTTATTGAAAAAGTAAATTGCAGGGCAGCACTGGCAACAAGTTTCTGCGTGCATATATGTTTCTGTCTGCGTGCTTGTACAGTATGTGTGTGTGCAGAAAGAGCAGGAGAAAGAAAGCATGATTTCCATAAATAATAAAAGGTAATTTAGTGAAAAAACATGAACATTGTCATTTTTATCTTATTGTTTGTCACAATTCTTTGCTTGATCAGTGTCTGTGGGTTTTGATTAATTTGCTTTTGTAGGCTATTAGGGCCTTTGAAAGAACTAAAATAAAATAAAAAACAGAAGAATTGATTTGGAACTGTAATGCAGACAGCATCAGCTTACAGTTGTCAGTAGACATATATCTGCGGACTGTGCTGAATGTAATTTTTTTTAATGACAGGGAGAATGCCAACCAATGTACTGGGGAAGGTTTACTCACCAGATCCAGATGACTGGGATAACAAGACGTATGCCTTCGAGGGACATGTTCCTAAGTGAGACCTTCTTTTTCTTCTCTACTCCTCATTCTTTCTACATCCTTTTCCTTTCTGTCCACATCGTTGCATCATCCCCTCCACATGGTTAGCATGTTTATACTCGTCTCCCAGCACCATACACATTTTTCCTGCACTCTTTGTGTTATTTAAATGGGTCAAGAGATCTCTAAAGAACAATGTCAAACCCTTTTTTCACACATCCCAGCATCTCTCTTCCTCTCTTGCTCTTCTCTATTGATGTTGTACACTTTACTGGAGAGGAGTATACAATGATTTTAGATGTCTTGAGCACATAGCACACCTGTGCTCTTGCTCTCTCAGAATCTTCAGTACACGGCGAGAACACGTGTCTTTGAGAAAGATTAAAAAGAGAATATAGATCAAAATTTTTACTCCATTTGGAAACAAAAATGAATTAATTCATTGAAATATGTTTTAGCTTGTAACTGGAATTTGTTTTCCTTCATCCTTTCTATAGATTTTCTATGCATGTGTACATTCAGCAAGCTTAAGTGTAAATATTTATTTGAAGCTGAGGTCAGAAGTTGACCTATAAATTGTGCTTTTCAGTTTTGGGAAGTTGTTGGGTTGAGACTAGTTTAGATTTTTAGGTCAGTGAAATCTATATTTCAGTGCCATTCATCTGCTGTTCACAATTTGTTGCAATATGCTAGAAAAGGAAACACTCACAACCCAAGGATTCACCTTCTAAATCATCTCTTAGCTTCCACTAAACATTTATTGAAGTGCATTCACTCTAGCCACATTTCAAATGACACTGAATTGTGTGTTCATTGATCTGTTAGATTTACACTTTTGCTTTTTATTGTTTATTTATTGGCTGTTGGTTTTTGCAATGTCTTCTCTGAAAAGGTTTTAGAGTTGTATATATATATGTGTGTGTGTGTGTGTGTGTGTGTGTGTGTGTGTGTATATCCAGTCAGACATCAATATTTTAATACTTTAATCCAATTTTCTACCTGCAGTTATTTTATCCTGAACAAGCGGACAGGGTTCCTCATGCTAAAGGAGAACGCTCCTCCTGGGAGTTATGACTTTCAGGTTCGAGTGTCAGATGGGCTGTGGCCGGATGCCGTCTCTAGCGTGAAGGTGAATGCGAGAGAGCTACGGGACGATGCCATCTACAACTCAGCCTCTCTGAGATTAGCAGGTACAGGTGATGTTTACCTCATGACAGCATGACATAGTGCTGTTTGACATTTAAATGAGATTTCAGCTGATCAGTAATCAGTGCCGACTTTTACACTTGTGAATTTTTCTTATTTTTTCTTCTCTCCAATGGTTTTTGCAATGTCTTCTCTGAAAAGGTTTTAGAGTTGTATATATATATATGTGTGTGTGTGTGTGTGTGTGTGTGTGTGTGTGTGTATATCCAGTCAGACATCAATATTTTAATACTTTAATCCAATTTTCTACCTGCAGTTATTTTATCCTGAACAAGCGGACAGGGTTCCTCATGCTAAAGGAGAACGCTCCTCCTGGGAGTTATGACTTTCAGGTTCGAGTGTCAGATGGGCTGTGGCCGGATGCCGTCTCTAGCGTGAAGGTGAATGCGAGAGAGCTACGGGACGATGCCATCTACAACTCAGCCTCTCTGAGATTAGCAGGTACAGGTGATGTTTACCTCATGACAGCATGACATAGTGCTGTTTGACATTTAAATGAGATTTCAGCTGATCAGTAATCAGTGCCGACTTTTACACTTGTGAATTTTTCTTATTTTTTCTTCTCTCCAATAATCTGCAGATTCTTCTTCTTTTTTTTTTTAAGTAAGATTAAAGTCTGAAAAATCTCCTCTTGATTTACATAGAATAATAGAATGATATATGTATTTAAAGCATTCAGCAATGGTGTCATAATAATTCCATATTGCATTTTCACTGGTCTTGTCTTTCCTGCATACCTTTAAACAACTATAGCTGCCTTGATACTGCAAACGCACTGAAGTTCTGTCATGCTTTGGTACTTATGCACAGTCAACAAGAAACAAGATGCAGGCTCAGGTTTATGACAATGGCAGCTCTGATGCATCATTTTGTTTGTGCAGAACTAAAAGTTTGAAACCTAAGATTGCCTACAGTAAAACTATATTATTTAGTATTTTTGGAATGCAAATTGATTAAATAGTGTGGATGTAATGCTGCTGTAAATGTAACTTCCAATTTAAATCATTATAGTTAAAGGCTCTGAAACTAATTTGACTGATAATGAATGGCACTCTGTATACAACACTGTTGAGACTTGAGCTGAGTCTGTGTCCACTGCTTATTTCAGTCAGAGACATTAAAATGGTTTGATGGTTTGGGCCTGGAATCAGAATCTGTGTTGATTGTGTGCCATGTTATAGCAGTAAAACTCATGGGCATATTGACTTTGGTGACATTATGACAGTCAGTGTTTTAATGAAAACAAGACTGAGCTGAAATGAAATGGACTATAGATAAGGTTTTTGTAGTTTTAAGACTAATAAGTTGGGGGAAAAGGTCTTGTGGGAGATGGGAAGACAGAATATAAAATGTAATAGAAGCAAACTCATAAGCCTATAAAGAGATTTTTCTTAGATTTCAGCAATGCAACTGATTTTATGGCACGCATGGAACAACAGCAAGCAGTTTTTATTACTGCTTACTGTGACTTCACAAATAACTTTGCAAATGTCTTGTAACCACAGTGTGTATGTAAATGCCTCTCCTTTCTATAATCTCTTACAATCCCTAATTGAAGTAGGATTATATGTGGCATTAAAAACAATCTGAGTTACTTTTATTGCGGTTTCATAGTTTTATCCGATAATCTACCGTGGTCTGTGCAGTTAGATATTTGTCCCATATGTCTGTTTAGTCTTTAAACTAAATAATGTGGCGGTTTACTATTAACCCTCCAGGATATTGTGTTGCCAAAACAATTTGAATTAAAGGCATTATTTAAAGAAACTTATTTTATCTGGAAGTGTTCATGGTAAAATAATCATGAGTATGGCTAAATTACACCCTTATTATTTATTTATTATTGTTTTATATTCAGCAATTATATTCTACACACGAAGGCCAAGTAGGAGAGTGCACAATTCTCTCTAATTAATAGTGATGATGAGCTAGGCTTTTAAGGGCAGTATTTAGGGAGAAATTATAATGATTCTGTAAATTTTAGTCTTAAGGAGTTTGATATGTATACAAATATCTGTTCAGAAAAGAAACATGCATTTATTTAGAGGTGATATTTATATTTTTTGCTGTGGTGAGTTGCTATGCGACAGTGTTTGGCAAATTGGACATTAGCCTAGTGTTGGAATTGTTTCACACTCAGTCACCTTGAGTCCTTTGGGGAGTCTGGAATTTTATATTTAACGCCTCGAAAGTTTTATGGTCCCTAGAATTGCAACAGTTTGCAAAAAACAAACAAGGTTCAAAACAAGGCTTTCGGTTTCAGAAGGGGACGTCAGTACTTCAGGCATTGTTTAAAATGCACATGAAAATGGCATCAGTCAACTGAGGTATGGGTTAATGTTCTTGCCAAATACTTAAGATGTTTATTTCTCTGGAGCCTTGTCTCAACATGCATTGAATTCTGGTCTAACTGAAAGTTTGAATTTCGTACTATTTACTGCCTCCTTGACATTTGGAATCCCATTTCAGGAGCAAATGTTGAAGGCAATGGAGAGTTGTAAGGCCTGTTTAATGCTGCTGCTTTGAGATTATAGCTTGCTCTGTGCATCTCTGGAAGTGAACTGATTGTAAAGTGAAATATGAGGGAAAGCATGTGCAGAAGTTCTTTAGACACCCATGCTAGCTCATAGAGATAATCGAACACGTGCGCACAAACTCACACAAGCTTATTCCCATAACCTCTGCTCTGCCTGTACACAAACAGGGCACACACATACACACATTTATACATAAACTCCCACATTCTGCAGGACACGCAACATGAAAAGCTTTTTGATGTTGAACTTTTGAGGCTTCTGACTGCTTAGCCAGTTTGGACTTATCTTTAAAAAATTTTAATGTCTAATGTTTTGATCCTCATCTCCTTGACTAACCCTGAGTTTTCCACCCCAACAGGACTTTGAAGTATCATTAAAAAGAGAAACTGGGAAAATATTGGCATTAATTCGGTAGCTCACCAATTCACAAAGACATATTGACCAGCCACACTGTCCCCAAGCCACAAAAGCTAAACCTCTAATTTAAGCTCTGTGTGTGTGTGTGTGTGTGTGTGTGTGTGTGTGTGTTTCCATCTGTTTATGAGTATAAATATTCTCTTTGGTTCTTTGTCTCAGAGTGGGTTTCACTGCATTTTAAAAACACTTGCATTATAAATGCGCCTATTTGTATATATGTATTCTTGCCTTTTTAAACGCGTGTATTTTACTTTCTGTTCGTTCGTTATGCATGCATGCAAGTGGCACAATTCCGCCAAACGCAGTACACTTTGGTGTTCCACAGTTGTTCTGTTTGTTTGTTTAATTATTTATTTCATATTGTTGTGGGATCTCTTAGAAATGTTTGATAAAGTATTATCTAAAATAAAATCAACCTTGCATGTGAACATAGCTAGTTTTAAATGAATAAAATATAGGTCTATTTTGCTATTGCAAAATTAAACAACTGTGTTTAGACATGCCAGATTTTGTAAAGAGGGTTACAAAAACTATAAACCTCATAAAAAATAATAAGAATAAAAATGTGTGTGTGTGCATGCATACATGTAATGCAATTCAATATATATCCATTTTTATACATTTATTATAATTATATAAAATTATAATACATTTGTATAAATATATATTTTTTTTCAAGTTTTACTTCCTGAAATTGATGTTTAGCATTCTTTGAAGGGTTAGATCCTCCTTTAATTGATAATTTGTTTAAAAAAATTGAGTGAATCCTTATTTTGTACCCTGTTTGTGGAAAATGCCATATAGATTGTTCTTAGTCAATCGATAAAATAGAAGAAAAAAAAAAACGAATTAATCTATTTTTCTATCATCACAAATACACAGAAATTATTATATATTTTTTGACAGCCCTATTTTCATATATCCCCGTGGTACCCTGTATATTTTTAAGTTTAGGTGTGTGTGTGTGTGTGTGTGTTTAACATCCAGAAAAGGTGTTAAGCACATACATTGCTTAATGCCCGTGGGAAGGGAAGCAGGTTTGATCTGGGCTTGGATCAAAGCCAGGTGTGAGGCTGTTCCCAGCTGTCATGATGAGTCTCCTCTTCACACACAGCTCCTGATGGGAGCAGACATCCACCCTTCCTGCACCCCCCCAAAAGTTAATCACAGTTTCCTTCCTTGCCCCCACCTAAACCTCCATGATTGACAGTCTTCAAGCACTAATGATTCACTTCGCGGAAAATTCAGGTCTATGCTGCACAGGGAATTGAAAGACTGCCGTCAGAGTGGGGATATAGGGCTGCGAGAGTAAAACAGAGACACAAACACAGCTTAAGTTATAGAATTTATACACCACATAGACACCACATGTAATTTGACGCAAAACAAAAACAAGGCCTTAAGGATTATTAGTAGTGTCCATTCAATATGTTGTGTACCTGGGTGTGACTATTTAGCTGTCAGAATGGAAAATATTTCAACAAATTTAAAAGAACAACAACAAAAACCTTGGGAAAACATTACACTATGTTGAACTGACTGTATTTTTTGCCCATAATTTTCATTCTAGTTCAATTAAATATGCTGTGTCCTCTGAGGATTATTAAAGCTTCTACAACTGAAAAGTATGTTGTATATACTACTATTCAAATGTTTGGTGTCAGCAAGAGTTTATTTTTAAAATAATGTCTTATGTCCACGAAGGCTGCATTTATTTGGTCAAAAATAGTCAAAAACAGTAATATTGTGAAATATTATTACAATTTAAAATAATTTTGAATTTTTTCAGTCATTACTCCAGTCGTCAGTGTCACTTGATCCTTCAGAAATCAATCTAATATGCCGGTTTGCTGCTCAAGAAACATTTATTATTACTATCAGTTGAAAACAGCTGTGCTGATCGATGAAGTATTATATTTATTAGAAATATAATTTTTATTTGCAACATTATAAGTGCCTTTTCTGTCACATTTGATCAATTGTATGCAGACTTGCGGAATAAAAGTATCAATTTCTTTAAAATAATTATTATATAAAATTCTTATACACACAACTTTGTATATTAGGAAGGTATTCTAAAATGTTTTTAGACATTCTACTAACTATAACTTTGAAACTACATGTCAACTAACTTATTATATTATTAGTAGAGTTTTATGTTAGGGTTAGTAGAATAAGTTGATGTATACTTTCAAAGTTACTTATAGTCACTTTGTAAGAAACTATAGTTTATTATATTTTCTTATGGGTGAGGGGTTCACAGAGGAAAGTCACTGACAACTAGTGTTGTTTTTGGTGGCCTGTTTTAGTTTTAGTCTAGTCTTTGTGTGAAACTGTCATTTTAGTTTTTATTAGTTTTAGTCACGTTCATACTCTTTTTAGTCTAGACTAGTTTTAGTCGACGAAAACTGATGACATTTAGTCTAGTTTTAGTCAATGAAAATTGTATTTTAGTCTCTTTTTAGAAATGCAATTCTATTTAACCCAGTCAATATAGTATAAGTACCTAGTAGTATAGA